GCGGCCCTTCTTCATGTACCAACGCGGCGACTCAGGGCAGAAGAAAACCTGAAGCGCGACGAACAAGGCGGGGATGCCAGCCTAAAGCGTGGCAATCTTAGGCTTGATCGCAGTTAGGGGAGACAGAGGAAGATGTACGCTTCCAAGCATCAGCCGCCATTTTAGACCTGTGATGCCGGAGGGGTCGGAGACGTTTTGAAAGGCGAGGTCCATCACGTAGCCAATCATGATTCCAAACGCCGTCCAAGTCTGCCACATCATGACCAGGCCGCCGCGGATGAGTGGGGGTGCACACCTAGTAGCGCAAAAGTATCAGGCGATGTGTATGCAAAGATGACTGCGACAACGACGCACTCAGCCGAATACACAGGGACGGTGGCACTCTTCGGACCAATCCCAAGGCCGAGCACAAAGCGGGCGACGAACAGGTGAGGCCACGAGTTGGTGACACCTTGCCAGATCATCAGGAAAAACTCCCCGCGCGAATTCACAGAAAATTAGTGCTAATGTCAACTAATGACGCCCGTGACCATTGGTGGTCTTATATCTCGAGATTTGCGAGCTGGATAAGTTCCTTGAAGGTAATAATAGGCATACATACTTTACTGCAGGCCCAAAAATCAAGGACTGTATGCTCAGAACACGTACAAGGCAAGAGAGACCATCTCTGCGTCTTTCCAAGTCAATTGAAGCCTGCCCTAAATACGGGCGCTCACACCACAGCCGCATCCCATTGCGCGCTCGACGCTCCGTTGCCACGTCTCTCCTTCCGACATCAGTGTGCCCACCCAATCTTTCCTCCTTCTTTTCACCGCTACATACGGGAGTGGCCAGTTTGACTGGTGGGTGATCTAGTATTAGCGGACATGGTGGTATGAGAGTGATACTACAGAAGCTGGGGTCCAGGTGAGTTGTAAGATACCATGCTGCATAGCAACTCGAAGGTGAGTAATGTACTACATCCGAAGGTAAGTCGTCGTCTGTGGCCTTGCCCAGCCGCACTTTGCATTTCGCGCCTCCAAGAAGTAAGTTGCGGTACTATAAGCTCATCAAGAGAGGATCCGGCCCACGTTGTAGTGCTATGTGTAGTTGGATGAGGTCGGATTAGCGTACCATGTTGGAACTTAGTATACAAGTTTATAGATTACTATGCAGTGTAATCATGCTAGTCGTTGTCGTACCCTTCAATATATTGAATCTATTGTACAAGCAACTAGAATCTGAAAAGACCAAACGACAGCCTGAATGGCGAGCAAATAATGAATGACCGCCGCTACGGACCCTGCCTACTAAGGCAGCTAATGGCTGCTGGTTAGCAGGGGACTTATCTTTTTAGACTAATGGACTAATCTCGCTGGTGAGGGATAATTTAGCTCGCTTAACGCCAATTCGCAGGGGGAGTTTTTCCTGATGATACAAGTGAGGAAAGAGAGCATAGCGGTCACGAAGATTGCACCACGACGGCCCAGCCAATCGTTCAACTGACATGTGAATAATGAGTTGAAAGGAGGAAAGTGCAAGCGAAAGAGATGGATCGTACAGGGCCAGTAAGCCAGCATCCAAGGACTCCGCAGCATAGCTGGGTAATCAAAGGCGTCAGACGAGCAAGGTGAAAGGAGCCGATCAGAGGCATACATATGGTGCTGAGTTGACAAGACCAACTAGCCACTGATTCCTGTTGGCTCCAGTCCCCTGCCCTGGGTCGATACCAAACTGCTTTGGGAAGAAGAGGTTGGCCCCATTGATAACAGACTCATCCATCTGCACCATTGTAAATACTCGTTCCATCGATAAAAACTAAAAGGAGACAGATAACGTACCCCCTGCACAGCAGCAGCTAGCGAACACATCACGACGAGATAGTACATCGTAAACGGCTGGTCCCATTTGTGCGTGACCTCCCTTCGCAGCACGTTCCGATCCTCGTCCGTCAGCAACGGCAGGCTCTCAAACAACGTCGGGTCTTGTGCCACGAGCGCACCCTTCTGCATAGTCTCCGTATACTCCGCGAGCCCATGCGTCTGCGCATACTCGGCGGCATCCGCCATGAGCTGCTCGTGGGAGATGCCCGCAAGTGGGTTCGCGAGCTTTGCGTTGAGGTTCTGGGCCGACCTATGCGATGTCGTGGATGAGCCTGGCTCACGCTGTTCGACGAAGGATTCCCGGCCGCCCAAGGAGGTCTTGTCTAAGGGATGACGCTTCTCGTCGTGCTGCGGGACGGAGTTGGGCAAGTACGTCGACATGGGGGACGATATCGGGTGCAGAAGGTGAGAGAGATGTAGGTGGGTGCATGATACAATTATCTCCCATCGTCGTCTTACGAGGTATACTGATTCAGGCCGCGCGTCGGCGGGTGAGTGTGGGGAGGAGAGTGGTGCATCAGATGTCACGCAGTGCCCGGAAGCTAGTCGTCCGTGCGTATCGCAAGAAGCTAGCACGGAAGCAAAGTTTGAATAGGACGGTTAGCAGCGGCTGAGCTGGTCACAAGTACGTACGCACCTGCACGTAGAGCACCCTAAAACCTTCCTGTGTAGTATGTTCCCATGACGTACAGATGAATTCGCACATGGAACAATTGTGTGTGTGTGTAAACGGTGAGATAGAGCGTCGGATCTATGTGCGGTAATGGACACGGCATTGCTTGGGAAGCAGTGAACTCACCTGTGGAGCAAAGGGACGCGGTTAGCTGTGACGACATCGACGCCCATCTGTTCGGCTCAGTTGTACGAATTATTACATACCCATTCAGGCTTCCTTTGAGAGTGTCTTCATGAACAACGGCAGTCTGTATTGTTATAGGCGCAAGACGTATCGCACAATCAAACAACAGAGAGACGGTGGTGTCCCCGAGTCGGCGCCGGCGTTATTGGGCGTCTGTTGTGCGCCTGCTAAACGCAGGCCGCAGGACACCGGAGTGCCCGCGTCGACTGCGACCCCGCGGCGCGCGCTGGAGCCTGATACGCCGGGGGCTAAACAGGCTTGGAGCTCTATGCGAACACGTAGCGTATATGGTAATCTAGAATCAGCGCCCTGGCCCGCATAAGGGTAAATTCGCCAGCGCCTAGAACGACTTTTCGCATACCAAATGTCTACCAAGCAGATGTAGAACAAGTGGAGAACACGGTAGTTCTTAAAGGTCAAAAACTCGAGGAGTACCAGCTAATCAGAGATCAGCATCGGGGTCAGACGCAGGATACCGTGTTCGAGCCTCGTGCGCACTCGCTCGGAATGAAGTGGAGCACCATCTCGAGCGATCTCATCACCGTTTTGTCAAAGAACCCCCATTTCGCGGCGCAAGTCTGCTCAAATGAAGACTGGAAAGTCTCCCTACCATGCAGTCCGCACGAGATGGGCCCTACTTATCGAGAACGAATATATAGCTCTGACTTCAACAGGTGTGTGGCATGTTACTGCAATCGTGACCTATATCAGCCAAGTGATCAGTATGCCTCACTTTGGAGTGAAACATAAAGAGACATCGTACGGAGAAGGCATACGCGGAACGGAGCTCTATAGTCTTAGGCCATATTTCCTGTTGGCTCAGCCCCAAGACCCAGTGCTCAAAAATAAATAGCCCTAGTAGGCCCCGGTTCTGACAGATAGATATATTATGACACAAGAGGGTTACACTACTTACATGGGAGTCGAGCTCGATCAACTCCGCCTCACGGAAGGTATATACAGTAAACGTATTAAGCGTCCACACGCCAGCACGACGTGGGCGAAGGGGTACTTTACGATGATCCAAAAATGCGACTATGGCTTTAATAACGGTCTGTAGGTCTTCCGAAGGCAATTGAGCAGCCTTAAGACTTGAATTAGATGGTGCCGATGCCCCCGGATCCGTACGTCTTCTCCCCAATCGCGCCCTCGTGCTCGTACAGCGGAGGCATATTGCCTACCTTCCTGCGGAGGACGTACTTCTGAAAATTGTGCCCGAATGCTTTGATCTGGTACGTGGCGTGGGTATGCGTCGGGACGGAGAACACTGGAATAGGACGAGATATGAGTGAAAACGAGCAAATCAAGGCGCAGAGCGCGTACCTTGATCTAGTTCTTCTAGGGAAAGCGCCTTGGTCTCTGGCACAAACAGGAGTGCAACAAAGAATCCGAAAACGCTGTAGAACGAAGTATAAGTTCTGGGTGTCGGTTTCATTCGGTCGGAGGAGACGCACTTCCAAGCCGCAAACCATCCGAACATCCCCTGTGGCGTCCATGCGCCGAGCAGTGCAGGCACGGTCAGTGCAACAACGAAGTTGCTGTCGCCACATGGTCAGTAGATGTATGATGTAAGGGCAGATCAAAAGGAGCTCACAAGAACCAGAGCAGCGCCGTAGCCATCGACATCCCAATGTCACGGACATACAGAGGGAATGCCTCGGCGGAATACTACGTCCAAAGGTTAGCCTCTGCTGCGAGGCAGAGCAGATGGGACCACTAACAGTGAAAGGAACAGGACCTTCTCCTGGAGAGTAAGCCGCAGTGAACAAATATATGCCGAGCGCGATGACACCGATGTGTGCCGGGCTTGACTGGGGTATCCAACTACATGCCAACCTCAGTCAGTAATCCCATCTCCTTGCAGCACTGGAACAACTCGCAAGGCGAAACCCGTCAACAACAACATCGCTGCCATAAGCGGGAACGACACCAATAGGAGGTTCCGCCTCCCAAATGTGTCAATTGTCCAGATCGCTGGGCCAGCGAACACGAAGTTGACTGCCCCATAGCCCCATGAGGCGATGAGCGCGGACGTCTGCGAGAAGCCGCCCTGGACGAAGATGTTGGAGGAGTAGTACGCAATCGCGTTGATCCCGCAAAACTGCTGCATGAACATGACAATGGTTGCCGCAAGAGTGGCACGCCGGTTGCGTGGGACGGTGAAGAGTTCGAGGAACTTGTTGCCTGTGCGCGAGGCTATTTCTTGTTCTGCCTCAAGGAGTACGTGCATATCTAGGAGAGGAAGATAGGTAAGCTTGGCACGGGAGATGGAGAAGGAACGGGATGACGTACAATAGAGGTCGCGCGCGGCCTGAAGGTCAGTGTGCCGCAGCCGACGAAGAGACTCGAAAGCCTTCTCGTGGCGACCCTTCTTCATGTACCAGCGAGGCGATTCCGGACAGAAGAACACTTGCAGAGCGATGAACAGAGCAGGGATGCCAGCCTATTTGATAGGAGTGAGTCCCAAGTAGATACAGAACCACCGAAGGAGATGTACGCTGCCGAGCATGAGCCGCCAGTTGAGGCCGCGAATTCCAGAGGAGTCGGGCACATTCTGAAAGGCGAGGTCCATGACGTATCCGATCATGATTCCGAACGCCGTCCATGTCTGCCACATCATGACCAAGGCGCCGCGAATGAGAGGGGGTGCACACCTATTAGTACGAAGTGTCAAATAGTGTGTACATAGAGGCAATGACGATAGGGACATACTCGGCCGAGTACACAGGGACGGTGGCACTCTTTGGACCAATCCCAAGGCCGAGCACAAAGCGGGCGACGAACAGGTGAGGCCACGAGTTGGTGACACCTTGCCAGATACAAGTGAGGAAAGAGAACATGGCGGTCACGAAGATTGCACCACGACGGCCTAGCCAATCGTTCAACTGACATGTGAATAATGAGTTGAAAGGAGGAAAGTGCAAGCGAAAGAGATGGATCGTACAGGGCCAGTAAGCCAGCATCCAAGGACTCCGCAGCATAGCTGGGTAATCAAAGGCGTCAGACGAGCAAGGTGAAAGGATTCGATCAGAGGCATACATATGGTGCTGAGTTGACAAGACCAACTAGCCACTGATTCCTGTTGGCTCCAGTCCCCGGCCCTGGGTCGATACCAAATTGCCTTGGGAAGAAGAGGTTGGCCCCGTTGATCACGGACTCATCCATCTGTGATGCGACTTTAAACTTCCTCTACGGAGACAGACCATATGGCAAACGTACCCCCTGCACGGCAGCAGCGATCGAGCACATCACGACGAGGTAGTACAGCATAAACGGCTGGTCCCATTTGTGCGTGATCTCCCTTCGCAGCACGTTTCGGTCCTCGTCCGTCAGCAACGGCAGGCTCTCAAACAACGCCGGGTCTTGTGCCACGAGCGCACCCTTCTGCATAGTCTCCGTGTACTCCGCAAGCCCATGCGTCTGCGCGTACTCGGCGGCATTCGCCATGAGCTGCTCATGGGAGATTCCCGCGAGTGGGTTCGCGAGCTTCGCGTTGAGGTTCTGGGCCGACTTATGCGATGCCATGGATGCTGGCTCGCGGCGTTCGATGAAGGACTCCCGACCGCTAAAGGACGCTTTTTCTGTTTGATGGAGTTTCTCATCGTGCAGTGGAACAGAGTTTGGCGAGGACATGGTGTCCGACGTCGGCTGCAGATGGGTTCCGGGGAAATGTGAGTAGGGGTAGACAACACGAGGAGTGCGTGTATAATATACTAACCTCCCTCCGTCCCCTACGGATGGACATGCGGTGTTACCAGACTGAGCCGCGTCTCGGCAGTGGGGTGCGTGGAGAGGGGGGTGGCGCGACGGACGTCACGCAGTGCTCGGAGGCTAGTCGGCCGTGCACGCCGTTTGAGTAAGTACAAAAACAGGCTATCAGCACAAGGCACGCGTGAACACAAACACCGTACGCACTCACACGGAACGCCCTAGCACCATACTGTGCACTGCTATCAAACCATGTACTAGAGATTCATCTGCATTACTTCACGCAGCGACTTGCCACGTGATTATTGAGATAGAATGTCGAGTTGAAGTGGTGAGCATTCACTCCGGTACGCCGGCATAACTGCGCAAATTGTTGAAGATACCAAAGCACTTGGCCTGTGGAGCAAGAGTAGTCGCCGACGCTGAGTTACGTGTTGCGTTAAGTCCTGAAGTACGTACGCACCATATGAACAAGCTTCAAGTCAGATTGAAGTGGATACAAGACAGCCTGCGCGAAGTGTCAAGCGTCTATTCCGCCTCGCCTTGGATATCGGAGCGCCTGCCATGGCTCCGATCGGCCCGATAGGGTTCGCGCGCTGAAGCTCCAACCCTCAATCCGTTCAAGCACCATTGAAGTTCAAGTTGAAGTCGCTAGAGTGAAAGTTCGACGGGCTTGATTAAGCCTGGTAACAGTGTAGGTTGAGTTGACCCTTCGATATTCTCTTCTACGCTAGCTCACGCGTGCTCTTGCATGCCAAGGCTCAGGCCTGCAGGCTCTTCTATAGACACCCCGGGGCCGTGACTCGCTACTACCTGACCGGCACTACAATAATCTCGTCGCCATCTCACCGGCTTGTCAGAGGGTATACTTGAACTCCGGTGCCCTGTCCCCCATCTTTCTCAGTTCCTCAGGTGCATACTTCTCGCCTCTCTCCTCCATATCTCGCACCCTGGCTCCCTTCCGCGCGTTTTCGCGAGTATAAACAAACAGAATGATGGGTGTAAGTATCAACCCGATGCTGACGAACATCATCTCGAGCCCATCTGTCGTGAGCGTATCCGTCGTTAAAATAGCTCCCGCTGAGAGACCTAACCTCAACAACGTACTTCCTAAAATGTACCGCGGCGCATCCTGGGAACGAAAGATGTTGCTCGCAATTGCCCCGCCGGAAGTTCCGAAGATGACTTGAATGGCTATACCCACGGCGCGCTTGTAATGTCCCGCTAGATTATTCGTGAGCCTGCATGGCTTCAAGTCAGCCCACAGCACCACATATCAATCTAAAGGCATCGCTGCCTCACCAGCATGTATCCGCAGGATACGCGCCATACGCTCCGGTAGCGACGAGAAATGTGGCGAAGTACTTCACACCGATGCTTGCGTTGGAGATGTTGATGGCAAATCCTGTTAGGCAGAGGAGCAGTCCGCATAGCACGAAGGGAGAGCGCTTCTTGATACGATCGGACCATATCGACCAGATGATCACAGTCGCGGCTTAGATGACGAAGGCGGTGGTTGATTCAGACACCTGCAATCGGATCATGTGGCACGAACGTACTCGCAACAACGTACGGAGGCACAGTCATTAGTTGCGAGATGGTTGCGTTAAAGCCAAATCTAGGCGAGCCTGCGATCAGCGAGGTCTGTCGATATGCACATGTAGTAGGTGCGGCTCCTACCCATTAATGGTCGACCTTCCATGGCTTTGATTAGCCTAATGACTCGGGAGGGCGGGACGTACGCACGGAAGGAAGAGGGAGATACCGTACACTAAACCAATGGACTGTCAATCTGATATTCTGATCAGTGGGGAGACATTAGAGAACGCACCGGCCGTGAGGACGGTCATGTTCACCAAGCTGATAAGCCAAACCTGCCAGTCGGTGAACGCTTCCCACACGTGCCGCAGCGCGAAGTGCTCGTCCTCCCCTACAGAGGAGTTATCGACTTCTGAGATCCGAGTTTCAGCAATAGCTTGTATGCAATACCCTGTGGTCACACGCCGGGGAGCAGATGGGGACATACTCTTGCGATGAATAACGTACGTGCGCTCTTCTGGGGTGAGGAAACGCGCCGTGTTCGGAAAGTCGACCAGGACTGGGAGGAAACCTTGTTCAACACTTAATGTTACTTCTAGCCGTAATCAAAACATACCAAAGAACGCGATGACGCCGACAACGACCGTGATGATACCCTCAATGATCTGAAAGACTTCTAAGCACCAATGTCGCAACAGGAAAATTAGGAAGTGCTTACAAAAATCCATGACCATCCGAGAAGCCCCGCAGTGCCGGACATGAACGATATGACGAATGCGAACAAGCCTGAGAACGCTCCTGCCAACGTCGCTCCACCCCAGAAGAGGCCGAGCCGCGTTTGGAGCATATGCCGAGGATACCACATTGAGAGGCTGTTTCGGTGTGCAAATGTCTACGACGTTATCATGGAGGGACAATGCAGGCAGCTCACTAAATAAATACACCTGGCGCGAAACCGGCTTCCGCAACGCCTAGACAGAGGCGCACTGCGACGAGCTGCGGATAGCTGTGTGCCGACAAGTCAGGCGAACAGCGCTGATGAGTCGAGGAATTGCATACTTCTTCACTATACCCATGAGAGAGCTGGCGATGCGCGTTCGATGAATGTACGGAGAATGGCAAAAGAGGGACCTACGTTGTGATACCCCAAAGTACCTATGCATGCAAGTATATCAGAAGTCATCGAATTGGAATGATGCGCTAACTTACTGTTATACCGGGGAGCCATCGTGAAGGACGGAACTTCTTAAGGACAATGCTATTCACGAAAAGTGAGAGCTGGAGAGACTTCTGGCTATGTTCACGTACCTTGCAGGTATCGCGCAGACGTCGTATGACTGGCCACATGATCAGCTCCTGTCGCCTTAACACAGCTCACAAAGGTGTACCCACTATGAAGTACATTGTCTACCACCCGTCAGTCAGTACGGTCGAAATCAGTGTTCGCAATTAGCAAGCTAACATACCAGTGCAATGTTATACCTGTTTCCGGTCAAGTCCAGCTGGGTAACGAGACCTTGCAGCTTTGCGTTCCCTAGACGCGCCATAAACATTCAATACCAAATCAAGCAAACTGCCACGCACCGATATTGCTTCTGTCGACGAACGAGCAGAGATACATGATTGTGATGATTGGCATGATATGCCAATCGATCTTGCGCCATAGTCGCCTCTGCTCCTCAGTACTGAGCGGTGGTGGAGGCGGTAGCTCCCTATCTCCACCGTATGAAGGGGTCTGAGATCCATCCGAAAGGCTGCGTGCCTCTTCGATCAGAACAACGCCCAGATCTTTCTCCGGTGCTGCTTTCTGGCCGTCAGTGGGATTACCGCTCATCGCTACGAGATGCTGGGGCTGAAAGGAGCAGGGGAAACGTTCGAAGGACACCGACTTGATCCTCTGAGAGTCGAAGGAGATCAGTAATTTATATATGAGCCTTGTTTGGCGGATGTTATACTCACCTGACTGCCTCATGACGGGATAAAATGGTACGTCTAAAATTACGACGAGGTACATATGGTTTCTTCTCAAGGATTTTATGAGAGTCTCCCTATCCAATTCGCACGGAGCGGGCCCCTAGTCAGCGAGTCGAACATTGTTGATGGACATAGCGCGCCATTGGCGGAGAATAGGTGGTGTGAGGGGTGCAGCCTGATCTATAACAGACCGGTGATGAGTATGTCTCACCTCCCAGTTGAGCCTTATAAGGACTCGTGTGAGGGACACACCTTGTAGATCGAGCTCGCGGACCAGGTGAACAGAGAACACTTCCTGGGTTCGAAGCAGACAAGACATCCTAAGGCCCTGCTACTCGTGTGTGCGCGACACCAGAGACTTCGAGCCAAATTTCGGGAACGAACTATGACTGATGTGCTATTAAAAGACAGCTAAAACAAGGCTTATGCCCAAAGTTAGCTCCCACTGGAGAAGCGTCATGCGTTGCCCATGGCTGCTTCCTGCAAGCGAAACTCAGGTTGAGATAACGCTTAGTGAATTTTCTTTCAGATTATGAATCTTAAAGCTCGTTGCTACTCACAATAAACGAGGCGCCCTAGGGAGTTTGCGTTCACAGTCTCTACTGTCTGATGGAACTCATTGAATATCAGCGTGGATGTACGGCGTGAATGAAACGCTTCGCTGTATGCCGATGGCAGCATAGACACGGAGGTATGTAAGACATTCCGCCAACATGTGAAAGGATATGGTTGTATGTGGAAAAAGTCAATGCATCAACAGGCTATGGTCGTGTGGAGATCAACGGTTTCTCAAAACGACTTGGATCGACGACGACGCATGTCACTAATTTATGGATGCGTGGCAGGCAGCGGGTGTAGCCGTGCTCACAGGCCAGCCGGTTCTGCCCGAGGCGACTTTCACACGGTTGTGGCTCAGGAAGTTAGTGCAATCTCTTGAGTACTGCAACCTGCATTAGCTGCTCGTAGCTTTTTGTCAACATGCTCCCTTTCCTTTGCGCGAGGTTGAAGGCGTTTGATCTGGCTAACTTAGACTCTCAACTGGAAGATCCATCTGTAGACTATGCCTAGTAGCAGAGCACCAACAAGTGCTTGCATTTGTAGAGCAGGCACTGCCAACCCCCGTCTACCACATACAGACGGTGTGAATCATCTGTGTCACATTGGTCTTATTCGTCTAGAAGCGCATAGACAGGGGACGATGGTAAGTGACATATCATGATGTCCTTTCTATGACGTTGACATCTGCTCCCGCTCTTCCCCCTAAAGATCTTCCGGAGGTTTGCATCGTATATCCATCACATGACTGGCTTCCGACTGTGCCTTTCTGGCAGCCTCAAAGTCATAACAACGTCAGCAATGCGTCTTCGCTCCACGTATGTCCCACGTTCACTGCATTGGCTATCACCCTGTTGAAACTCGGTATTAGCGGCCACGGTGAGCATCTCATTCTACGCCCACCCTTCTGCGACCTCAACTATCGCATTGGCCTATGTCTTTCTCCCAATCCCGCGAATAGCTAGGTTGAACAGCCTCTATGGCTGAGTTGGATACAACTCGAATACACGCATGCGTGCCTGAAAGGTTCGTCCCGCTGCCATCGCATCTGTCTACCGATGACGCAGACCCATCCCAACTACTTATGCCTGCTTCCCCCCTTGGATCTGTGCCTGCGCCTCGGAGGCGCACTAGTAGCTTCTTCACCATCATCATCCGCGAATTCAATGTTCCTGGGCGAGCGCATCCTTCTCTGGGTCTATACCAACCCTGCACGCCATGTGCACGACTCCGCCTTCTACAAATGGCACGAAACTGAGCGTACCCCTTCCCTCTTCGACATACATGACGACTCTTTCTTCCTCTCCTGCACGCACTTCATTGCTGCGGATTGCAAGTTACCGATCTATCTCTGCCTCTACGACTTGGTGCTCCCCAGTACCGTCTACGACCCCGCGTACATTGCCCTCCGCGAGAAACACGCGCTCGAAAAGCGTCGCGCCGAGTCCGTCGAGGGCCGCGTGTACGAGCCAGTCGACACGCCACATCTCTCTCCCACATGGTCAAACGACACCACAACAGATGATGAGCGTGCTACTGTTCGATTCATCACCGTCGTGGGGGCGGACTTGATGAAGTTCGCCGAGAGCAAGTTCTGCCGGTGGACGAGGAACCCATCCCCCTCCTATCGCGCGTGCCCGGTTGGGTTCGAAGCCGCCGTTTTGTGTACAAGGAAGCCATCGATTCCGAGGCCAGCGATTCTGATCAGGCGATGAGCGAGGTGGAGGCGGAGGCGGACAGCGAGAGTGAGAGTGAGAGTGGGAGAGAGCGAGAGCCAAAACCAACATGAGGACGGGGAGGGAAGGTGCGTTCGGACTGTCCGTCCAGATTCCTGGCCATACATGAGTGGACATCGCTGGATGTGTTCGAGACGAAGCAGTACAGGCGCGCGACGACTACACCATGGAGGACGGAGGTTTTGAAGGAGGGCAGGGTGCTGCGGTACGAGATACGTGTCTTTCGCGCATCCATGTCGCGGCATGGACAACTCTGACTGGTAGTCATAAACGTCTCTCCTGTTGTGTACTATTTGCTGATCCTGTGGTATGCAATACAAGCTGTGTGTTCTTTGCCTCCCCACCAAACCCTGTACGCGACCTCGACACGGCTTATTCACATGATTTGCCCAACTAGGATACGACGCCCTGATCCGTGTCTCCACTCCGATGTCACCGGTGCGCGCACCACGGTGCCTCGCATCCTTGGAAATCCAGCGTCCATTGGCAGTCCATTCGAATGCATGTCGCTTGAAATGATTCCCGCAGATATGATACGGTCTCAGATGGCACACGCCGCCGCCGCCGTTGCGAGTCAAGAGATTTGCCGGCGCAAGCACTGCTCTCCCCCTTGTCTATACAGGCTTCGTACCAAGAGTACGCAGGTGAGTCCATGCATTCGATGTGATGTTGGAATATGAAGCATTGCTCGTGCCCGACTACGAGCTAGGTTACTTTCTTGCGAGCTTGTCGCCGATACTCTGCTGAGGGAAGAGTCGGGGTAAGGTCGTGTTACATGCAAGTCCATCCCATCGTATGCGCTGATGCGAATATATCTCGCTCGTCTTGGACGCACGGTGGCGTGGTAGTTTGGGAAGATTCGTGATGATGGGAACTAACAACCCCCGTACACAATTTCCAGGGAACCGCTAATCACATAATTGTTTACATCATAATTGCCCCATCCCGGAGACACCACCCTCATCCAAAGCCCAATTCGATCACCGGGCTGTAGCGCCTCTATGAAGCTTGCTCCCCCTCCCGTACTGCATCCCATTGCCTGCGTTGCGTCTGCCTCCTGGTGCCGAGTCCATTCAATGATGTACGGTTCAGCTGGACGTTGCCCTATAGTGTTCGTCTGGATACGCCAGACGCAGCTCTCGCCGTTCGGGACCAGCGTCCAACCTACATCTCTGATCTTCTGCCAGAGCTCTTCGGGTGACTGATACACGTCATACAGCCCACCCGCAGCTGTGACGTCCTTGCGGTCGGGGCCGAGTTCTATTTGGCGGAAGATGCTGGCATCATACCAAGAGCGTTCCCGTACTGCTTGGGTACCACTGTTCAGCAATGCACTGACATGCGGTACAAAGCTCAGCAGTCACTCACGATGTTGCCACGGCCTAGGGCTACCTTCATCGCTAAAATCGCCACCCTTGATCGTCCATACAATCTTTCTCACCCTGCGCCCATCAAGGGTTTCGGGAAGAGGGGGACAGAGGAAGTAGAGCCGTGCCGCACTACGCTCCACTCTGGCGTGCACTATGACGCTATCGTACTCGTTCCGTTTGGTTCGAACGACAGGGCAGTATTCTGCGAGTTCCACAATGTAGAGGACAAGCTCCGTTGGTAGACCGAGACCCGACAACATATCGTGGACAGCGTATACGTGGACGGGAGTAATCACCGTATCCCGGATGATTGGCCATTGAGGTCTCTTTTGAACCTGTGGTTGCGGAGACACGTTCAGAGCCATCGGGTCGTCGGAGTCTTCTAGGGTCGGGATGCTGGCTGATAACGGCGTCGTATCGGTGCCAGCTGGAGCGAGTCCCCGCCATGGTTGTATCGAGCAACGATGAACACTCGGATTCCGCGTCGCTCGCCTGACCTTGGGCGTGGGAAGGTACTAGAGTCTTTGCATTATCAGTCCGTGGCAATACAGTCATCGGTCTGCACTGCTATGATCTCTCCGCTGAGTGCAGGCACTCCGATATTCTACCGTTCTGTTTTTTCATTCACCTCGTACAGTACGCCGTGCCCGCGTCTACCCATGAAAGTGTAGCCCATCGTTGTCGGCATGCATCTCGTCCGTCGATGCCGCAGTCGCAGAATGTGAAAGAATGCTTGCTCAAGGAGAGTTCAACTCGCAGCGATATCGCTCGCGATGTTAGCGGTGCCTCGTCCGGCCATACACTCACGTGATGTTATTTTGATCGCTTTCCCACGGCTCGGTCCACGGTTACTGGTGAGTAGCCGGGTTCCTTGCTGTTCCTGAACGGCTCAGTACTTGGCTGCCAACAACCTCTGCTCAGCGAGGACCTCGACAACACTCATCTCGCCAATACCAGTGCTGTTCTAAGCGCGTGTCTCACTCTGACCAGGCATTGTGCACTCAAGACTCGCTATAGGACAACTCGGTGAAGGACAACGGTACTAATGCGGTCATCGATCCTCCGTGTATTCCCAAAAATACATGAGTCTAATACTATGCTACAGAAGAGTGTCCAGGCTCGATCTATAAGGTGCGCCTACAAGTCCAAATTTCAAAGGTGTCCGATTCAGTATCCCGTTGCGCTGACTGGTGTCACGGGCTGCATAAGAGGCCGCATATCCCTGCACGCCTCCGCGTAGCCACGATTTGGCGAAAGGCGCGAAGCCCACCATCCGTGGCCGCGCGTGTTGCGACCTCTATGTTGGTCATTCTGAGACAAGATGGCCTGGCCCTCAGAACGCGGTCTCGGGAGTGCCTGTGTTTCGCCACTGAGGTTTTAGTGCGCGAGTTAGGAATGGCGTAATGGGGATAGCAGGTGCGAGTTTATTGGCGTTGGTTGGTGTACTTTGCCTCTTGCTACTCTTGGGAAGAGGGGGGAGGGCCCTCATCCGCCGTCGTTCGTTCGTACTGCTGTGCGCAGATTGCGCGGTGCGTGTGTGAGCCGCTGTGTCGACCGCGTCCTCAACAGCCGTCCGCGCCTCTGCTGTCGACTCGGTATCGCTCTGCCGCATCACGAAGGACATGGGGGATAGCGCAGAGTACGCGATTGAGGCCACGCTGCGCCTGTCTACCCACCCCTTGCTCGTGGACCGCGTCTTCTCGGGAGTGACAATGGAGAGGTGCAGGTACGGTGGAGGGTTTAGGTCTGTGCGTAGATCGTGAGCATGTTCATGTCCACTTCCGACGATATGCAGGCATACCTGCGGGCCGCGCTGCAGTTCTCTCCATCTCATGCTTCTCAAGGTATTTCCGCCGCAGACATAGCGCAATGATAACGAGTATGAGGATTATCATGCCGCCTCCTGCTGCAATGCCTATCTTGACCCTTTCGCTCAATGCCCTCCCTGGTTGCGGCGGCTGTCTATCTGAGCTGTTTGTCTGGGAAGCTGAGCTTGCAGTTGATGGTGCAGAGGTCGTGATAGTTGTGGCGGACGACGGTGATGATCTGGTTGGTGTGATTATTTTGTCCGAAGTCGATGATGACGTCTTGCTACTGCTCGCGGACCCTGGTGTGTTTGACATGGCCTGCGATGGCGGGCTAGAAGAAGAGGGGGGCGTCGCGGGATGGGTAGTTGCAAGTGACTGTGACTGTGATGGCGTTCGATTCTGCTGGTTGGGTAGATGAGGCTGGATGATAACAGTGGACGTCCTGGTCGTAAAGACCGTCGTCGTCGTCACGGTTGTAAATCCCCTCTGGTGGAGTAGTAGCGAGGTAGGGCGCAGTCTCCTGTCTCCGATGTCGACAGTTTTCGGCATGAGGCTCTTGGGCAAACCTCGGGGAAGGGGCTGGTTCTGACCTCCGTGATTGCACCCAGGTGGGCATGGGTAGTCACCGTGTTGTTCATGTGCGTGGCCTTCCGGAAGACGAAGTCTGTCCAATGAGGAGGACGGTGGGCCAGCTCGCCAGCCCAGTTGAGATGTCGCGCGCTGATTGAGAGAGGGATTGGCTTGATCATTAAGCTTGGGTGTATATGCCGCGTTTGCGCCAGCGACGAGCAAGGACAGGATAGTGGCTGTGATGGCAATAATATGCAGAAAAGTGAAGGAGGAACAAGGATCGCTGCATGCCCGTGGGTCGTTTCGGCCCTGATGCGTTGCCAACCCTCCTGTATGTTCATGTTCAGAGGTCATTCGAGTGCAGTGGGCCCATATCAATTGTACCTTTGCGGGAGATGTCGGGGCTGCAGCTAGCCATCCTGCGGAGTCGAATGTAGGAATGCAAAGGAGCGTTTGGTAGGTGCGCGAGAACACACGAGACGTCTGCACCAAGCCCCGATATCTGTACTCTCAGGAGCTTCGACCTCCCTACAGCCTGTGCGCAGGCTAGATGTCAGTTTCGTTGAGGATCCCTCTCCGTGATCTTCCTACCTCACGGTCGTCTGAGCGACTGCCATGCGTTGGTTGCTTCAACATTTCCGTCCGAGAAGGGTAGCAATATGGAGACAACTGACCCGGTCAAGCTTCCAAGACTATTGCTAATGGATACTGAGGTGATTGTCAGATTGGGCACATGGAAATAGGGTTTGAACCAAAGTACCAAAGCACAATCACTCATAGTTGTCATATCTTGACATCGTAGCTCGAGGCAGTGCAGTTGCAGAATGTTATGACAATGTGATACAATCGACATCACCGAAGTAACCCAGAGCTACCGCGTTCCGCATCAGTCTATCTGGTGTCCAATTTCAAGAAAACTACACCGTACGTAGCCAACGCATCATACTGGGAGCAGGATAGGAGAATGAGACAAGATACACAGCTCATATCATATGTTGGACTGATGCGGGTTGATGCCGTCCTAGAGAGAGAGCGATTACGACGTCGAAAGTGAGGTAGGCTGCATTGGTGGCGAGAGCGAAGGCGGGGTATGCGTCTTCTCTCGTATAAAGAGCCGTGGGTCCCAAGCTGTGATGGGTTTCTCCGATTCGTATTCGGACAAGTGGGAGGCCGCATCGTCGTCGGCACATATAGACGAGTCTGGACAAGCGCGACATTTAAGAAGGCAATATCAAGGGGCAGAAATAATCGAAGCTGGAAAGATTGTCGTACCGGGGTAGCTTGGTTCGCTATGCAATCCCGACTCTTCCTTAGCCCGTTGAGTTCTATAGTTACTCCACTTGCGGAAATACAACAGTCCAAGCACAACGAGCGCAATGGCTGTTAACGAACCCATCGCGATTCCAACCCTAATCCCCAGATTCTGCCCATGTGATGTCCGAGGCTTTGCCGACAACGAGCTGAGTGCGGTGGGAAGCGTCGCGGTTATTGAAAGAGATAGGGTCGTCTGGCTGTCTGTGGTTTCAGATGACTGCATCGTTTCCGAATCCGTGGGAGAGGTTCGTGGCGAACTTGCGGTCAGAGAAGTTGTACCACTTTGGGATGGCAGCGAGGATGACCAGAAGGCAGTGCTGGTATAGCTTTCAGTCGAGCTTTTCAGGCTCGTATTTTGATATGTCACGGGTGGATCAGACGAGCTCCTCAACGGCGTTGAAGTTTTGGATGAGAGTGAATGCGTGGAAAAAATGTTCGATGTCTATCGCGATGTAATGAGACATCACAATTTCATGCATACCGATGACCATTGGTCAACACCACACGGTTTTTTTTACTGAGCCACCGTGCCTCCCAATTGAACGTACCGGCGATGAATAGCCTCTCGAGGGCATGATTGTTTGAGTCGATGTTTCCGTGGTCGATTGAGATCCTGTTGATCGGGTTGACGTGTCGGATGACGTACACGGAGTGGAAGTTGACGTTATAGAGATATGAGTAGCGGAACTACATGTAGCGTGGAGGAAAGCCATACTATCAGTTAGTCATGGATGGCATACAATCTCAAAGACAATGGTCGTACTATGGGTTGTCCATTCTTGGAAAGACTCCACCACCTCCGAGAGTGAATGAAGGTGCCGTTATCAGGGCTGAGATGGGTTTGTAGAGTCTTGGTGTATGAGGAAGCATTTCCATTGGGTTTATCCTGTATGACTCGGATGAACTGGTACAGCAAAGGACGCTGCTTCAGCTCTGGCTAAGATGAATATGTTATGAACATATCCACTCACAGAGGCAAATAAGTCCAGCAGTATCCTTGGTCCGATAGTTTCTCGCAGAATCAAAGCAGTCTCCTGTTCAATAGGAGTTGGGAGGCGACAGGGAAGAATGAAGATCTAGCCTCTCTCACCTTGGAACCTACGAAGATGAAATAGCTGCGCCCTCGCCGTTTGACACCTGTACCCAGAGGGTTCCCCAGATGGAAAGACACTGTTACCCTTCTGATTCTGCGATGAACATCTGAACGTTCAATGACAGTTTTTGTCTCTCAGGTCGACTCGGGTATTTTGCTGGAAATTCTGGATACTCAACAGCTCATGCACCGAAGGACAGCACTGATCATCACGATGGAGTAGTATAGATCGGAATTTGTAACTTTGACGTATTTGGAGCGAGCCACAAGAAGAAGGCAAAGGAAGGTTGCACCTAGCTTAAGTGACCAGTGCGCGGCGTATCGTTATGCCGGGTTCTAGGCGGTGAATGGCTCAAAGACCACGAGCTTCAACATATGGAGGAAGTATATTCTGAGATACAGGTGAAATTGGGGAAGCTAGTGAACCACATACAGTCAGGGACTGAGCAGCGGCGTAACGTAATTGACAGATGACAGAGATATTGATGTTGTATGTATCAGACGGTAGTATTGGATGCGGACAAGGGTATAGGATTAGGGCGACTTTCTACACTGATACTAGTTACTAGGCCAACAGTAATATCAGCGATGCTGAAACCGAACGAAGTGACGCTTATGTTTCCGCAACGAACAGATCTATAGACAGGCTCTCCATGCCATTTACTAAGTCTTCCTACCCAGCATTGTGTAGTTCGGGTTTGTGGAACCATCTTGTAGCAGTGTTCCGTGACGACGACCAACAACTGACAGGCGGCGCTTAGAGCAGCGAAGCAACTGAAGAATTTTTCCGTACTACAGTTTCGTGAGCCCCCTCCTCAGAGCATGTCGGCATGCTTTGTGTGACACATGAATTTGTGTGCTCAACTATCCTCTCGCCCCGTGATATTGCGTCATTGTCTTCTAAAAGGCGCTACTGAGCGATGCGCGAGTCAGAGCAGCATGTTCTAGCCATGAAGATGCATCTCTATATACCGAAGGCCGGAGGCCCAGGATTAGCGGCTTTGGCCTATGTACTCCCAGTATAGACGCGGAGGCCTCCAATGATTTAGACCCTGTGTATGTGTCAGACAGTTGTTCATGTCCATCGTTTGACGATGACCATCTACAGACCGCAGGCTGGCCTGCTGTTCAGCCGAAAATGAGCCAAACCACGACCACGACAATTTGATTGGCCTACTTGGGGAATTTATGCATCAGGAGCAGCGAGTTTAGACACTGTCGACGGCACATCGAAGGGACGCATGTTGGAAGCGAAGGGCGGACGAGTGGCGTCTCAATCTCCAAGCGTGCTTCCGGAATAGGATGAACGTGATTAGGAGAAGGAGCTCCAGATCTGCGTGAGACCAAGAGCAATAGCGGCCTTTGAGCTCACGCGAAGGCTTCGATTGGCAGATGCAAGAATGGAAGTAGAAGTCGCCACTGATTGAAGAGATGAAGCCGCAGACTGTGGGTTAGAGTTAGAGTGGCACATCAAAGGTCCGGTCTGGTCTGATCTGACGGAGGTTCACCTCGAACGCCGGTAGTGAGGCTGTGCCTTTGCTATTGCTCCCAAAAGAGCCATTCACAGGTTTCGATGATGTCACGATGAACGGAGCGGGGAGTCTGGGAAGGTGGCAATACGAAAGTGGGTTTGAAATCACGAAATTGAAGGCTGCATGACAGAATGAGATGTCTGCATTGGCGACATCTGTGGCGCAGCGATTCTGGTTTTCTGGGTAGGCAGGGGTGTACAGGACCACGGATCTAAGGATCGCGGCGGTCCTGGCTGTGATACGGGTGGCTTCAGCGAAGCGGCATCGGCGCTGTGCTGCTCAATAGGGCGTTACACGATAAGAAGCTTAGGACATACAAGACTAGAATCTATTAAGTGATTACATCCAAATTGCCCATGAGAATCATCGTGAACGTAGAAGCGTCATGCTCCCAGTCCCGAGTAGCGCCAAAAGGCTGAGACTTGTTGTTCAGAAGAACTAAATCTAATAATGAACGTACAAGTAATGAGCGTACGGGAGTACAACAAGAAACTCGTTGATCGGCGTCCTTGTCCCTGCGTTTCCACACACATCCAATAAGTCCTATCCCCGATCACCATTCATAGCGCATCGACACTGGTCATCTCAGAGGCCCCCGTACCCTCAGTAGCCCTCGATATCCCTCCGTCCCTAAGGTCTTCAACGAGCGGTGCATGAAGTGGTGAGCGAGCATGGGCTGATCGTGCGATTAGCACCGAGACAGTATATTCCGTGCCTGCCAAGGCAAGGAGTTCGGGGGCGGTCGGAGAACAACGAGTGGAGCTCTGCATGACCTGCTCTGGGTAGGATAGGTACACATCCGGCTCGGGCGTCGGGAGAGGAGAGGGGTGCTCAACCCTCGCCCGTCTCGCACCGCCGGCACTGAGATGGCCCGCGCTGCCTTGGACGCTCCCGTCCACCGGAAATGCTTTTTCAGACAGCATGTCGAGAGAGGTGGCACTGCGTGATGGTTCGAATTGCGAGTCGAGCGGAAGAGTACCAAACCATGACCAAGTCCAAGTAGAGCTGATCTTGTTACTTGAGGAACCTGTGTGCGAAAGAGTTCCCGCGTACGAACCGCCACCGGTCAGCATCGGGTACTCTCGAAATCATGCCTAATAATGAACACATACCATCGTATCTCTGTCGCTGGATATGCCACCACCGGTGGTCATCGAAGCGATTCGACCTCTTTCGGGTGCACTTCCGGAGAACAAAGGCCGCTCCGATGATGATGACAAGTGCCCCAACGCAAGCAAGGGTGATGACAGTGATGGCCAAAGCGCTCAGCCCATGAGGGTGCAATGGACTTTGGGGTTGTGGTGATCCTGACAACTGAGGGGCTGACGACGAAGATGAGGGTGTCGGGACAGGTGGCGGTTGGCTCGTCGTGATAGATTTCGGGGCTGCTGACGCGTGGATTGTGGGCGATGCTACCAACGGTACTGGACTGGACAATGTATGACCGGGTTCTGACGAAAACGATGGGCCCGGTGTCGGTTGCCCCTTAGGTACTGTAGTATCAGCTGCACTTGGCGCTTGGCTAGTAACAACGTTCCCCGGGTCGATGATTGTGGCCGTACGAGTCGTTGTGACAGTGCTTTGACCGTGCGTTTGGAGGAAAGTAGTAAGGGTGGTAGGACGAGGAGTATGCGTCAAATGGGGCAGAAAGGGGGATATAATGGATGAGAGCAGAGGGCAGAAGGGACATGGGAGCGAAAAAGGTCCTGGACATCTCGCGGACTCGCATAGTTCTCCAGTGTCTGATGAGCGCAGTTCTTCCAGTACGTGGTGGTCGGGCATATGAGTTATGCTCTGCAAGAATACAACGGCAGACCCTATATCACTGGCAAGAAAAGTGATGTTATGCGTCGATGGGGAGGGACGAAGGAGTCTCATACCGTCACTGTCAACAGAGATACCAAAACAGGGACTGCCTAGTATTTTTGACAGTCGAGATAATAGAGACTCTCAATGTCCTTGTCCAGCACGAACAATTAGAACGTGTTCAGCGCCGTCGGATCAAATGGAAAACAAGAAGACACTACTCACCTCGAGTACCATCTAGCAGGATTATTCGAGCCCAAACACGCTACAACTGTGTACGATTGCTCGGTGAAATAAGAGTGGACCCTCTGCACCTAGAGACGGGGCTCATTCCTGATGTCACGAGGGTTCGACAGCTCTGATTATATCTCGTTCACAGATAGATGAATGGAGCGCCGTAGCAACGATAACTTCGCCGACAACTATGGTTGCGTGAATCACCTGGTAATGCGGCTTAAAGAGTGATCTGTCACCTAGCGGTTCCAGAAACACAGACAGTCTGTGGGATCGATCTACATCAGGATGATGAAGAATTGAGGTAGCATCGCTCACCGACGCCATGATGCATCGTTAGACTGTGGTGGAATCAGGAAGGGAATGCCTATGAATCCTTGTATCGAGCGAGATCAAAAGAAGTAGACCACACAGACAGCGTGTTACTGTTTTCAAGTCTTTGTTCCAAGTCCCGATTGACAGTATTAGTACTTGCGTATGCCAGCGTAAGCGCGCCAGTGCCACGTCGTACGCGCACGGGAGGCGCACGGGGTGACACAGGCACATGACCGTGACGCGCCTGCAGAACCCCCGTGACTATGCGGCCGAAGCACACGGAATGCAATGCGAGCTGAGCTATGTCTCGCCTTGTCCGATCCCGAACTTATCAAAGCTCCAGAGTGACAGACTATAGTCCAGATGTATGGCCCAGCAGTTCAGGGAAGGTCTCTACGTTTCTGTGATATGCATGTGTTTAACAGGTTCCGCGTCGTGCAGAGCACTGCTCTAACAATTAGATAGCCAGGGAGAGACATACATTGAGTACAACAGTGAAAGGTATCTTCCAAGTGTGGTTCTATGACAAACGTCACTCGACCGAAAGTCCGTCGTTCCATGATGAACGCCAAATGGCCGCAAACAACGCTCCGGCCACGCGTGAGAAGAGCACTGCATCCGGTGACACGGAGGCGAATAGCGCCGCAGCTACTTCCAAAGATCGTTCTCCTGAGCGTTCCAGGGCCGAGCGCTGTCACTGGACGCGGCTAACAATCGCGCGCGGAATGGGTTCTTCGGCGACTGCACCGCCTGAGGTGCCACGGGAAAGTTAACTTGAACGTACTGCGACCTCGCTTGATCGGAGGCTGAGGGGGACATGGGCTGGGGTCTAAGAGGTGGGTACGAGGGAAGTGTCCGTTCCGTATCGGAGAGGTCGTCGCGGTCTGCATCTGAAAGAGTGTTTGATTGGACACTCTGCTCGGTGATTGTGGACAGGGCAGTGACTCGCGCGTTCCTCGGAGTCCGCTTGCTTGAGCGCTGGGCGGAGCGGGAAGAGAAGAGGTATTGAGGCGGTCTCCGCTTCTCCTGCGCGAACATGTCTGGATCCCATTCCGTGACGCCTTTGTTGGAACCGTAGGGCTGTCCGGGCTCGGATGGACATAAGTCGGACCATGTGGTAGGACGGCTCGCGTCTGCAATGATGATGACTCTGAGATGTCGTTATCAACGATGGTGAAAAAAACTCTGGACGCACTGGTAAAGTCAAGGGTGCCAATGCTTGACATAGATCGTATCCGCAACTGCCGCGTCGCACGTCGTCGCTTCCGCAGGGCGAAGACTGCGAACGCTGCAAAAGCAGCGATGACTAGGCAGCCGACAACAATTCCTGCAAGACCACTATGCTTCAGGACGCGGGGCGAGCTATGGTTCGAAACAGAGGGTGGGTCAGGAAGGTTCGTAGAAGTTGTGGCTTGGCCCATCGGAGTCATCGGATGAAGGAGAGAGGTGTCTGACTGGCTGTCATCGTCTCCTGAAGTGGAGCTAGGTTTCCCATGTGTGGGTATGGGTTCTACCGATGGCAACTCCGTAGTTGAGGATTCCCTGATTGGAACGTGTGCTGGCCCCAATGAGGACGACATCGTTGCTGACGGGGAAGGTGTAGTGGCGGTTATCGATGAAGATGATGAAGTCGGAGCATCTGCGATTGTCAAGGAATAAGGTTGAGGTAATAATTCTGCGGTACTAGGGACCAGTAGAGAGAGCGTTCCGAGGCAATTGGAGTTGAGGCTCGTCCCTTGAATGGGGCCAAAGAGTTTCGGGTTTGAGACGTGCCCGTTTCCATCGCTGACGTGCGCCCAAAACTGGAAAAGTGCAGGAAAGTCCACGGGTGTCCACACAAAGGTGGAGGCATTTGTCGGTCCTAACTCGCGAGTATCGTCCGTTATTATTGCGTTGATATTCACTGTGAAAGGAGACTGGCCCCCTGTCCACGAAAACTGAAATGAACCGCATTGCGTAGGAGGGTTTAGCCCTAGGTGAAGAATAATCATATCAGAGCCGTGTGCGTTGCCGGAGGCAGCAGTCGAAGATGGCATTCTCTCTGATAGAAGTAATCATGAGGAGAGCTCAGATGGAGTGGTATTCGGCGTAAGATGATAAGGCATTTCACTGACCTCCTAAAGGAACGTATACTCCACGCGGACGTGATCAGCCGGGCACACCTCTATAGGGCCGTCAGAACCACGAGAAAAGAGTTACCACGAGACGCTCACCCGTATCGTAAACGGCCTGAGTTGCACAGAGGGAGCGGAGTGCACCTGAGAGATCTGAAAGACGAGGGGCTCTCGTGCAGCCAGCAGATTTTCAGAGATTGGACTCGTCGAGCGCTCGATAGAAAACCGTGTGTTGTTGTTGTACTACCGACTGCCTGCGTGACCTGTGGAAGATGAGAGCCTTGCGCACAGAAGGCACAATGCATGCAATATGCTGAGATACTTACCTTTTCTGTTCAACCAGCCTACCAACGGTGAAAGACGCTTCGCAGTATAGCTACAATCATCAAGTGGTAGATGCTATCTGCTGTGACATGGCAACTAGGCGGACGAGCTGTGAGATGAACAGCAACTTGCTGCGACGAACATGAACGTTCAGATGTATTTCCTCCTTTCTGACACTGTACTCGCGTGATACAGCATGTTCGCGAGCACACGCGTACTCCTTCAACATCCTGCATTGCTTTCCTGGATCCAGTGACAGATGGTCGTCAGGGCGAGCAGCAGAGAGGAAATGAGGATGGAAGCGCACTTGCGATCTGTTGGTTCCTGTTGCGTCATTCAATCTCTGGCCCTCCGACGCGCGCATGTCAGAGAGATGAACCTTCCGTTCCATTCTCGGTAACGTTGACAAGGACAATATATTATAGCCTGCTCTGAGTACAAACTATGGCTGTTAAGATTGCTTCGAGCGGAAACGACTGTCCAAGACCCTCGACAGTACACCCAACCAGTCGACCACAAAGCCATCGTGACGCCTGCAATTGACTAAAATTTGCGTGAAATGGCCAGATCAAGGCTGAGATCATAGTCAGCGAAAAAGGTCAGGATCCTCAGAGGGACTTTTGAGGCAACACTAACATTTCTCCATTTTGTGCATCATCATCACAGGTGCCCTTCCCCCCAACTGCCGCCATTGGGTCCTGCGTGGGTTGATTCCCAGCTAGCCGAAGCCAGCAAACGGTTGCGGAATGGATTCGTCGAGGAACGAGTGATACCCACTCGGGAGTTAGCATCTGCCCAGCTGCCTCTATCCTGGGCGGGCATAGGTACTAGCGGCGGATAGGATGAGAGACTTGTTGCGATTCCAGGGTAACTATCTGTTTAGAGCGTTAGTAGTGGGACCCTTCTCGAAAGACAAATGAAGTACCTTGCGTGACCCTGATAGAATGGTGAGCTACTGGAACGGGTGAAGGGGTCTTCTCCCGAGTAAATTGACTAGGATCCCAGGAGAGCTCTCTTTTGATTTGGCCTGGTAGCGCATGAGGCTCGTGTTCGAGATTCTCAGCCGTCGCTTCTGACCACTCATCATTGGCAGTGGCAGCGTCTATATTGTCAGAGAAAATATCTCATCAATGGTGACGAGTTCCGCCTATCATAGTACACGACTGCAAAGTCATTGACGTACTCGCGTAATTATATGACCGCGGACGCGGTCTTACAGAATCTTCCGCAGCTTTCCGTCGCTTGCGCATGATGAAGAGGCCAAGCGCAATGAGCAGCCCGAAGACTACACCAGCAATTGCGATGCCGACAATAGCGCCCACGCTAAGTGGATGACTTGAGCTTCTCCCAGAACGAAACTCATCTGCGGTGCCCGACGGTGGTGGTACTGCAGAGGAAGAAGCGCTGGAAATCACTGCAGGTTCTCACATAAGTGGTCCGCGGAGCTCTACTGTAGTACCAGGTATCAACCTACTGCCGGGTGGAGACGTAGTGCCGCTTGGACCTATGCACCTCGAGGTCAATTGCATCCACAGTAAGACGTACGAGGCGTATTTACCTATGCTGGAATTGGTGCCTGATGAATTCGAAAGACAGGAATCAACTCCGGGTTGGATGATGAACGGACCAGAATCGGATGGGGCAAGGCTGCTAGTGTCCGAGAGTACAAGGTGCAAGCGGGTTCCTGCGGTGATATTTGCCGTCCAGAAAAGTGTGTTGTTGGTGAGACTGTCGAACTCTTGAGCCACGGTACCGTTCACTTCGTAGACTATCTGCAGTACGTAGGGGGGTACGCCGCCTTGCCAAGTCAACTTGGTTGTCCTACACTGGGTGGGAGGCGGCTGCGGGGTGTCTACCTCGAACGCAGCAGAACGCGTGCCAACGGCACGGGGCGGCAAGGAAAACATTGCCTTGCGACGCGTTTCAATGGAAGGGAATGACATATACAGCGAGTATTTGGTGAGGTTCCTGTCGACATAGGTCAGCTCCCTTGCATCATATCGCCAACTCCTACAAACAAACCTTTACTTATTGAAGGAGTGCTTGACGTAGGTAAACAAGATCGAATGGTGAGCGGTACAGGCAGCAGCACACTAGTGCAGATATCGAGTACTTTGCTGAAGCATGAGCGATATTCACAGAGGGACAGTATTGCAAGAGGTGCCAGCGCATCGAAAGTCTCGCCAGAATCTAGTACCTGAACAGCGCTACGCTCGTTGCAACCTTGCAGGTGGGATTGCGACCGGATCGGACGACTCGATGACTCCCTCGGACAGATGCTACCTGGGAAAGATGTCATCAGATCGGGAAGAAGATCTCCCATGGCCGAACCCGCCCTATTCGCGATCTCGATGCAACGCACTCGACAAGACACTAAAGCGGTGGACGCGCCTATCCTTGCACACAGGTAATCGAATCGTGAGATGAGGCGAGTATGGAGACTGCTGCGAGAATCAACTCAGCACATGATCGTACGGAAGCCATCGGTCCACATTAGAGTTCGTCCCTATGGTACCGCAGTTGCAAACGACAAGGCAAGCCGCATTGCTCAATCGGACAGCAACCGAGATCGTACAGTTGTACAGCATGCAGCATGATATGGCTAGAACGACGTCTCCAAGATGAGAGTCTCAACGTCCAGATCACTTGCTCCTGAGACATCATAACAAGTTACGCAGTCCGGCACCAGTCCATCCGTTCTCGTACACAGCATAGTAGATCATAAGGACGGTCCCACAGAACGATAGTCCGTAACCAAGGACGGCGATAGCGGAGGATGAGAAGATAGAACACCAGCCACTTCCGACGTGTCCGAACCCGAGTCACCCAACGACAGAAGCTCAGCATCACTGCTGTTCGGCGATGGCAATTCTGGCGGATGATCCTGTTCCAGACCAGGAGACGGCATGAGTGAGGCGAGCAAGCTGTCTTTCACTTGCGACGCCGCGGGCGACTTCGCGCGGACGAACAGGTTCGCGTCCCAGGATGTCACGCGCTCTCCGGCTTTCGACAGATGGGATCGTTCGTCCGGCCATTCATCAAAGGAGCTGCGGGCGTCTACATAGCGATATGTGAAAGTTCTGTCACGTCAGGGCGGTGAATGGAATGTACAGGTACGTACCGTCATACTGGGCCGCGCCGAGACTCCGAGCATTGGCGTGTGCACGGAGCCTTCTTCTCCGGCGGAGATAGAAGAACGCGCCAGCGGCGAGGAGCGCGGCGAGCGCGGAGGCAACGATGATAGCTGCGATTGCTCCTATGCTGAGTGCTTGCTTGGACTTTGAGCTGAGAGATGGCGACGTTTTAGCCGTGGCCGAGGGCAACAAGTCTGATTGTGGAAGCGTAGTGAAAGTGGATGTAGTGGTGGGTGCCGACGCTGGTGTGGCGGTAATCAGCAAGAGTTTCGCGGACGGTTTTGAGCAACATTCGATCAAATCCAAAGAGCGCGACCATCGCTAGAAAGCTCACCGGATAGAGTATCAGACGAGCCAGATGATATTGAGGTTGAGGTCGCTGCAGACGACGTAGAGTTATCCTGTCTCATGGATATTAGTCCAACCTAACAGGCACGTTAGGTCAATATTGGTCCACGCACCAGCGCAAGACAGTCGGAACTGCCACTATCCCCTACGGTGAACTGGTTCCCATGGCTCGACTGGCCGGTGGAGTCCAATAGTATCGCAAATAAGGCAGTCCCGCTGGGGAAATCAACGGGATCCCATGTATACGAAAGGTCACTGGTGTGACTGTCGCGAAGTGCATTGTCGCTGTCGTTCCCTTTGATTAGCAAGTCATAGGGAGGAGTTCCCCCCGTCCACGAAAAGGTGGTCGACTTGCATTGTCGTGGTGCTGGATCAGGACCTTGGAGATTGAGCTCCTCTGCCTGAGCACGGACAAGAGTCGACATCCTAGCGACGAGGAATAACATGAGGAGTCCATTCAGGACTCTCCGAGAGCATAGCGAGGACGGCCAACGCGTCTCGAACAGTAAGGGGGTATTGTGCGGTAAACGTCCGGCGTGCAACTCTTCAGAACGTGAGGACGAGAGGGGAGAGGTGTAGAGGAATGATGCACTCACCGCTAGAGCAATCCACTAGACAGACAGACATCGAGCACCTCTTTGAGACCCTCTCCGAAGAATGTTGGAAGAACGAAGGGAGGCGTGTTGTAGACCGGCCAGGATGCACGATGACAGCCCTCCTGCTGTGATAGTTACAACCTCTACTCGTAGAGGGACCAGCACCGAGACTCACTGGAATGTGGGTGCATGAGAGATGCGCTGTCGTAGGGTGAGGCGAGAAGCATCGCCCCCGGACGGGCGCTGCGTATAGGATGCTGAGAACTGAGCTCGTGGTGGCTTAATGTTCAACGCGAAGAGTGGCCGTCCGCGCAGCTACCTGCATCGCAATCGGACCGGCTCGGGAAACTAGAAATATAAAGCTGTGGAGGATGAGGCGGTGGCCGCGCGCACACTGCGGCCGAATCTAACGTACCATCATACGACGCCGAGGACACCGACCCATCGTCTAAGATGATGTACGTTACGTTTTGCTCCTTCATGCCCCATAGTCATTGTGTGCGATGTGTCTTCACCCTTCTCCCTCTTGTGCTCAGAGAAACGGGAAGGAAACCTCTTGAGACGTAGATGATGATCCGTTCGAAGTGCCACGTTGCAACAGGCGCTCTGGCTCGGCGTATCAGGGGCGTCTGCCGGACCACGATAAGGTTTGCGCGGGCATGCCCACTTTCAGGTTGGTCGCCTCGAGTTTCTGTGGTGATCCTGGTGGCAAACCAGTACGCGAAGAACTTTGAGAGCGACAGGGGTGTTGAGCTTAAAGGTGTGAATATTCAATGATCTCACGGAAGGTCATGGACCTCCTTTGTACTCGTATATGCTACATGTAAGGTAGAGAAAGTCCAAGGTTCATTGTCCCATCGGTTACTTGTACTGGCGTGCCTTGGGAGAAACGCGAATCGCTATCTCCAGGCTGCCTTGTAACTCTCATTGGCGCGCTCAATCTGTGTTGCCATATATTTTGAGATGAGAAAGATCATACACACTGCAGGGGAAGACATACTGTGACTATTTATGGCCTGCATCGGTATCCAGGATGTCTTACGGATTAGGCAAGGTCGCGATGAGCACCGGCGTAGACGCGATGGACACACGCTGAGGCTGTGGCACCCTCTTCAGTGCTGAGAGCAGCACAGACCGCGGAACGTCAACCTCATGCTCGCCATCGTCGTACGCGAAGATCGTGTTCGGCATTTCTTGAGCAGAATACCCATAGACTGGGGGTTGTTCACGGTTGTTGCGGAACGGATCCCGGTCAAGCAAGCCGGACTTCTTCGATCTATAGGAACTGACGTCTGTTGTGCTCCCAGCGGATTCTGGAACGTCTTCTGTCAGCCAGAACTCGAGAAGCACAGACTGAATTGCCTACGGAAAGGGGTAACGAATGCGGAGCTTGAGAGCTGTTTGCATCTCCATCTCCAGAATATGTAGACAGCGATGCCGAGCAATAATGAGAACATGAAAACCCCAAGAACGACAAAAGCCGCCACGATTGCTATAAATAAGATCAGTAACGACCACACGTAGAACGGTGACGGTGACAGCTTCACAAGGACATGATGGACAACATACCTCCTGATGCAGAGTGGGTACTCGTCAGTACTTGCTGAGGCGCGCTAGACGGTGCCGCCCTCGACGGCATCGTCGGCTTCGCAGAAGTATGTGTTGTGTGGGGTGAAGGACTAGAGCTCACAATCGTACCATCGATGACGACCTCAAGGTAATCGATGAGGAGGGAGTCACCATGATTGATAATGTAGATTGTGTGCTCTCCATCGCCGATGGTAGGGGAGCTGAAGAATTGGACCTGATGGTGCTGCTGGTGAATCGCGTCCTTCATGAAATACGTGAAACTCTGTCCATTGATCATGTACGTTGAGTTCTGCGTGTCGTTCGGAATTTGCTGCCCATAGACCTTGATCGACGTGCCTGACAGGCATCAGTCCTTTTTTCATTAAGGGATACAGTTGGTTGACGACATACCTTTGAAAGTGAATGATACACTAGCTCCATTCTCGACCGTCCCGGTCACCGTATTATTCAACTGACCGGGACTTGGGGTTTGTCTACTCCAGTCCCCCATGTACTTTAGCTCAGGATCAGTGTCGTCCACGACAACTGGGAGGCCTCTCCTGCGAGGAGAGGGGGACATTGCGTTGCGACCAGGTCCAGCTGGCAGTTCAACCAGGAGGATACGAAGAAGAAATGCACCAGGCAACGGGTTGTAAGCCGAAGGAGAGGAGCAGCACACAGAAGATGTTTGTGGTGCTGCTCAAGGGAAGTGCGAGCGCATTCGCGGGTCACGACACGTGCGAGTGTCCCAAGACTCAAGGGTCGGATACGGACAGACCATCTAACAGTTCATCGAAGGGAAACCCAGATGATTTGTCATTTCTCGACGCTTCGAAGGTGATGATGCGAGTGTTGGATTGCGCGTTACCCAGCTTTGTTTGATGATACCGAAGAACGCTCGCAAGACCGTCTCGCTGTGAGGTCATATTGATGCGCATGCGAGTAAAGGCCGTATGCCTGGAACTTGGGACATGCACAGACGCGAAGCAGGTAAGAGTTGTACCTCTGAGCTATGCTCTGCATCGAACCGTCTCCATGGATCATGCATCTATCAGCATCTAACAGGCCACACTCACGGGAAGCGTGGGCGACGGACGCATTCAACATCGCCACGACGCTTATATAAGGCGCGGACTACTGAATAGCCAGCCAAAGAACTAGACATAGATCAGCAAGCATTCAGTTCGAGAAGTATACATTATGATTAGGGTTCCGAGCCAGGCAACGGTAGCGCCAACTCATCCCAAAAGACGCAAATAATCTCAGACTCACCAAACTTAAAACAGGCCCACCAGGATAATGGTGTATGTGACCGTTCACACTTCCTCCCTATGCAGTATCCTCTGCATTGTATGTGGTGCGGGCAATACTGGTGGACGATATACGCGGACAGACATCACAATAAGAGAGCAAGGTACCATTCCGCCAACGGGGGCAGCCTTTACGAGACACGTAAGTAGAAGCGCTTCGAGTACACGTGGTCACATTCGGGGAATACCGGCCGGATCAGCGAGAGGCTTGGTGGCGTAGGCTTACAACCGTTGCAAGCACGTCGAGATCTTGTGGAGTTTCGTATGTAGCACTAGCAGACTACATGGCTAATATAAGCTACAACATGTCAGAGATAAACGATGGTCCCACAGGAGGTCCGCTTCGAATGAAATCCGAGACTACAACTCGAGGAACTAAAGTCAAATAAAGTCAATAGTACTGATCGTACGGTGGGGGAGCCGTAGAGGGAACGTCACTAGACGTATCATCGAATACGTCAGAACGACCTAGTCTCTGTCTCCGCCCTACGAAGCTTCTTGGGGGCTCAACCACGGTAAGGGCAGTCAGAGTGAGGTCCCTTGCGCTGTTCACTTCTTGTGGGGTCCCAGCCCCGGGAGAGCTCGCTGGATACGCTGAACTCTTAAGATAGGCCGTTTCTGGCATGGGTAGAGGTTTGTTCCTATGTTCTACGGTATATTATGCATCAGATAATGGAACAAACTGATCGGTGAACGAGTGTACTGACCCATGATAGCTTCGGCAGTCGGGAGCCCGAGCGTCACAACCACTGAATGCTGGTCGTCTTCACGCATGACCGTCGAGAATAAACCAAGCTCTGGCGTCGTGATGCTGCTGTTTCTAGCGCTTTGAATGAACGACGACTCTCTGGGCTCCAGAGGGCCTGTTGCAAATGAAGGTCGTTGAACATAAAGCGCAACGGGTCATTGGAACCGCACTCACCCAGCTTCGTAAACCGCCTTTCGGGTTGATTTAATCGCCTTCTTCTGCACCAGAATAGCAGTCCCAGTCCTAGTGCGAGGGCAAGGATGCTGCAGGTGACGATACCGCCGATCACCGCTGGCCGAAGCGCCTTCCCAGAGGACGTTGAAACGGAAGAGGCAGAAGGTAGAGATGACACTGACGGGAGGAACGAGACAGATGTTGTCAGCTGAGTATGTGAAGCAAGACTTGTGGTTGTTGAGGACAGCTGACCCGAAGATGGAAGCACAGATTTGGGCGTGGTAGAGGAGGACGCGGTAATTGAGCCGGAATTTGTTGGTGCGTTGGAGATAGAAGAGATGGCGGGAGATGTTGATCCGGGAGTCGAAGAAATTGTGGCCGTCGACGTATGTGAAGCTGCGGAAGTACTAGGGGAAAACGTCGAGGTGGCTGACGTGAAGCCAGGAAGACCTAAACCCGTCGAAGCTGCCTCCGCGTTAGACCCGCCCTCAACACTGTCTGCGCAGCTGCTCTCTATTCCAGCCTGCACGACAATGTCTGGAATCTGGGCAAGTATCCCATCATCGTTCTCTAGCACAATGGTAGCTCGTGTCCCGGCTGTAATATTGATGGTGAATACGGCGGACGTGCCACCGAGCCCGTCGGCGCGAAGGAAGCTTTGAGAGGGATCGGAAGGAGAGCCGACGAGTAAAGTAAAAGGAGGTGAAGATTGGTCGACTTCCCAGGTGATTTCAGTCGGAACGCATTGCGCGAAGGGACCAACAGATGTGACCCTGAGGCCGCTTGCGGCAGAAAGGAATGTGGAGAAAATGAACAAAAGTGACAGGAGTCCATAGCGTCCGGACGCCATCTCGCGTCCTGAGAAAAATCTCATGAGCTACGTAAAGCTCGGCCCCTCTGAAACGGAGCTTGAGCGTTGATTTGTCAGTGAAGCGACTAGATGGAGCCGTATGTGCTTACATTGACTCACGTTCGATCCCGGTTTGAGAAGCTTTGCCTTAATAACTTGAAAGTTCCGCTGAAACGTGAAGCTGCATCGAGAATGTAAGAGACTATAGGAGATCGCAACGATGGGAAAACAACCTTTGTACTAGACAAACACAATTGAGCGCCCTGGTGTCCCATGCGACATCGGCGTACCGGGACGATACCCTCCGTAGCGTGGATGTGCAAAGTGGTGGGTAGAATCCAGTTGAGTACGTGAACGGGTCAACAAGATAGGGATGTCTCGTGCGCACCTTGAGGGCAGCGACGAAGGCGACAAGGAGAGGGAAGCGCGGAGCCGCAACTCCTCCTCCCATATCAAAGGGGAAATATTTCTCATACCGGACAGTGTACGATGTTCATGACAGATCCCGGCTCAATGCGGTGAGAATGTCGTCGTGCTGGGAGCTGTATCAACAAAGGGTACGCCGAGTTCCTGCATATGCCGGTTCAGCCTATGCAACCAAGCTGTATCCTACGCGAGCAACATATCGATACCTCGAAAATGACGAACGAACATGCAGTGCATGCTAACGCGCATGCTGCAGACTCAAGTAGAGACTAAGCGGCTACAGTTTGTATGCGTCTGGTCAAGGCAACCGCAGTCAAGGAAGACTAGAAGCGGTTCCGAAGCCTTGATGGTCGTCGTGAGGGCATGTTCCTGGGTCGATTCTCCGACAGCGAACAAAGATAGATAGCTCAGATGCAAGGAAAACTGCTACTGTAGACGCCGCCGGGCACATTGAACATGACCGCGTCGCCAGCGGAGGAGCAAGTGACTGGGAGGTCCAAAGCTATGACAGAGTCCACCGCGGCACGCACCGCGTTACAAGACCTACCTTGACGGCGCCGCAGGTCAAGGCAGATAGAAGCACCATCACCTGCGATCTTGATGGCGACTAGGCTTCGCATTCACGTGTTGCAAGCACATCATCACAGCATGACAGCATAACGCCAAACGCACTATAGAACATACGCATTTACGCTCACTGCTCGGCCAAACGTGGACTGTAAGACGGCGGCCTCCCGTGGACGTCCAGCCCCCCATGGCTATATGGCGGCGTCGAGACCATCGTCCGATAGCTCTCCCTCGCAAGCGAGCCGCTCGCCACAACGAATGCAGACGGGATCAACGTCGAATGACGAAGAGGAAGGTACTCCGAACTCGGGGGCGGCTGGTCCCACGCATATGGCAGGTCCGTGCGCGCGCTAGTCAATTGGGTGTGGATCGCGGGCGGGGGCGAAACAGGATTCGGCGAGAGTGGTGACAACAAGGGATGTGCGGATGGAGACGAAGGAGTTGTGACGAATGTTGTTGGGGAATGCGGTGCTCGGTACCGAGTCGCAGAAGGACCAAGGCGCGTTTTCTCCTCCAGCGGGTATACAGCCCGGCCTCCGTGGTACCCTGAAGCGCCCGCCGGGCTCACGACAGTCGCCGCGGCCGATTGGGCGACGTCTGTGGACGCATCCCATGGTATCGGTGTGCTCCGGTAACTGGGTCTACGAGACGGCACTTGTATGACGCTAGACGCGCTTGCAGACGCGGGGGGTACTGGTCCGCGCGAAACGTAAATTGGGCGAACGACAGAAAACAACTTCAATGAATGACTGAGACGTACCGAATTGAGTGATCGCGACTTCCCTTCCCTTCGACGCTCTCCGTTTCCTCCACACGAATAGCAGCAGGCCGCTCAGCCCCAAGACGAGAGCCAGCGCAAGGACGATCGCCGCAACGTCACCCTTCTCCATTGCCCCCGACCGCGATGCTGCGCCACCGCTCGCCCCCGTAGCAGCAGGATGCGCTGTTGAGTCCGAACCGCGCAAAGTGACAGTACGGCCGTCATCGGAAAGAGTGACGAACACGGCGGTCGTGGGAACGGATGCAGTAGTCGGAACGTGGTCTGCAGCGGACGTCGCTGAGGGCGAGACCGAATGGGATTCATCTGCGCGAGCGCGCGATGTGGACACTCCCGCCGTCGAGCCCACAGCCTTCGTCTTGGTATCCGTCTGCGTCAGGGCGTCGCCTGTCCGAGTCGCGGTGAGGATCATGGTTTGAGTGACCTGGTCGTTTGCACCTCCGATCGTGATGGTCGCGACTACGGTCGCGGTGTCGACAGAGGTAACATCTTGGACAGAAGTGATCACAGCTGTTTGCGTCTGCGTAGCTTGAATGCTAAATCGCTCGATAGAAGTGGCGTGACCGAAGGCAGAAGTGTAGTAGCTGAAGCCAGTCCCCCAGGGCCCAATACCAAATCTGCGAGCCTCAATCCATCGTGGGCGGTGATGAATCATGGTGATAATGAATTAGGGTGACACCCTGGGCAGCATCGCGGCACCGGCATACGTTAATGAAGGGCATTCAAGAGAGCGACAGAAGGACTCACGAGTAGCGTGAAAGAGAACGACGCAACGATTCTTAAGACGACGGCAGATCCTCCCTTGGCTCGGATGTTCCTTCGGATGCAAATGGGTCAGACTCTGCTCTTCATAAACAGAGCCCGTACGTGAGCGTGTTGAAGTGAAAGAGTGGCGGTGGGCCGGCGGACCAGCAGAAGGGTCGAAGCGAGAGCCTGGTTAGCCGAAGAGAAAGAGAGGCGACCCCCACCCTTTACTCCCGTCTAAGAAATCACATCACTGTGCGTAGTGCTAGTCCAGGAGGTGCACATGTTCCAGACGCGTCCAAGCAAAGGGGGCAGTCCACGGAGCCCAGTGACAAATTTGAAGATCACAGCATCAATATCGCTTGATCGGAGTATGCTGTGGTCAACGTGTATATGATGAAGACGAAGTCAACAAGGCGACAAGTCGAAGGCCTAGAGTGATTGCGGGGCCTTACCTGCGCTGAAGAGACATATCGACGATTTCCAACGAGGTGAGTGCGCTTGTGAGAAAGCAGCATTCAGTCTGGAAGCTAGTCATGGCTTGCTACACCAGATGGGAGTGGGTGAGAAGGATAGGTAGGGTTGAATTGAGAATTCCACAATGGAGCTGGCGAGAAAAGACCTCGTGGGGCGTCTCACAAGCACGAGGCTACTCGCCGTTTCGGCCGCTGCTGATAATGCCACTCCGACAACTCGGAGTTACAATACTGCTACTGGCAAATTAGTAATGATCGCAGCTACGTCAGAAGGATCCTTCATAGTATATCAAAGCATTTGTATTCTCGAAGGAACGGCCTACAATTTCCAATCAATCCGCACTAAAAGAAGTCCGACCATGGTGCTGAACGATTGAATGAACACACAGGTGCAGCGCGAATCGCCACCGGGATACAGCAACAAGCAGGATTGAGACATGTTATTGTACATTGGGTTTGACACCTTATCCTCGTACAAATTTTCCTACATGATCGTCCGAAGGCTCAGAGCTTAGCACCGCCAGTGGCCTCGAGGAAGCGCTTCTCGGCCTCCTCGAAGTTGATGACGTTCCAGATAGCGTTGAGGTACTACGTGGTAAGACGCAATAAGCCAGATGATGCATTACAGACAGACACAAAGGATACTCACGTCAGCCTTTACGTTAAGGTACTGGAGGTAGAAGGCGTGCTCCCAGATATCGACACCAATGATGGGGACATGCGAAAGGAGCGGGTCCTGGTTGGCAGTGGTCGTGATCTCGAGAACCTTGGTCGACGGGTTATATCCCTGTAGTGCAAGTAGATTAAACACTACGTCTCTTTGAAGCTACCGAGCGCAAACGGGATACAAGGATGCACAAAGACACCACAAAACCTGCGCATGAATGAAACAGAGCACTTACGAGCCAGCCCCAGCCGGAGCCCTGGATGGCAGCAGTGGTCGCATTGAACTCCTTCTTGAGGTTGTCGACAGAGCCGAATGTCTTGATGATCGCGTCCTTGAGAGGGCCATCTTGAATAGCACCGCCATTGCCCTTGCCCTCGGACTTAGCAGGAGCGAGGTTCTTCCAGAAGAGGGAATGGTTGATGTGACCTGCGCCGCAGGAACCCCGCGCATCTGTAATCGCGTCCTCGCACACCGAATCCTACGAGATAAACTTACCACCACCGTTAAACTTGAGGGCGGCCTGGAGCGCGATGCGCTCCTTGGGGGTGGACGCCTTGGCGTAAGCCTGCTCGGCGGCGTTGAGGGCGTTCACGTATGTCTGGTGGTGCTTCTTGTGGTGAAGCTCCATGATCTGCCTCGAGATGAAGGGCTCGAGCCCATCGTAAGCGTAGGGGAGGTCGGGGAGAGTGTGGGCCATGTTATCTGTCTCTCGCGGTGGATGTGGGAGAACGAAGAGGGGTCGCAGCCAAGACGGCGAGCGTATTTATCGCTCATCTTCGCGATCGCCTAGGCGCCTACCCACTGCGATAATGATGTAATCCCACATATCACGTCATGTGATGCCGATCCCGTTCGGGCTTGTTTCGGCGCCCCGACTCTCGCGCTCGCCGTTCCGCACGACGATCACCCTCATTTTCGTCCTCGAGTCTCGTATGCTATCTTCGACTCTCTGTCTGGCTAGGTTAAATACCGGTCTCTGTCACTTTGGACAGCTTCCTCGTACCATCACCTCACATCGGACATCAGTGGCTCAATCTTGGTAAACCGTAATCTTGATAATCTTGGAGACATGACTACTCACGATTGCGTGTTATTTCGTCTTTCAACCTTACCGACTATATGCCCCCTTCTTAGGTCTGAATGCTCTAGAAGCCACGGATCTCAGGAGGGTTTCCTACGTCTTTCTCCCGAGGTATACATCTTCCGATGCTCGCTCATTCTGGGGGATGCCATGACGTATCTCGGTGGTGGTTGGTGAGATTAGGTGAGCGCGGTCGCATATTTATGTCTATAGGATTGCGAAGTTCTGTGCGACAGTAGATCCCTGCATATATGCACGTGCACCCGTTGTGCCGAAACTCGTTGTCCTCTGCTCTCCGCCAGACCCTCCCCTCTACCATGTACAAATCTGCGGCGACGTCGCTTCTCGCGATCGAAGCATGCGTAATCATCGTAAAATTGTGATTCTTCTGACTCTATTGATGTCTATTGTAGCCTCAGTGGACTAGAGGGATGCTCAGATGAGGATCGACCGTAAGGTAAGCACAAACTCCATGTGGCAGTCCGGACTGTCCAAATCTTGGACAAGTACAACCATTTTACGAGCATTGATTCACGTTGTAATCTGACCTTGGCTTGAGCGGGTCAGGTATTCCCCCAAATGTATCGATCTGTCTCCTCGCGTCGATGAGTTTCCCATGATCATGTCTAGGCACGATGACTGGTCCATCGTGCCAACGTCTCTGTTGGACGAGTAGGTGCGTAAGAGTCCACGATGCCTACCAAGACAGATGCGTCTCGACTAGATCAGGAAAAAATGGATCACAGGCACGCCAGGGCTCTGGATGCCGTCGACACAAAGGAGTGCTAGGAGGCGACTGCTCACCTCCTGTCCATGGCTTTTGTCCGGGAATGCCACCTTACAACTGAAGGTGCGTTTCCTGCCCGTCGACCTTCGCTAGCTAAAACCTCCCAATTCGTGCCATGAAGGGCAGGTCATATTGAGGTCACTAGTAGACTGCGTTGGTGTTGCAAGCATAGTTTGTGGTTCGATGTCGTGATTCTCGTCCCGTCGGCCCCTCCTCATGACGCGATCCGAAACGGGGCTGTAAAGTCGATGCTGAATCGTTTCCCCCAATCTCGGAGGTGTCGATTCAGCGGTAGTGAACGCTGATTATTACCCCCCCCCGGCCGGCTCACATCTGGGGGTCGTATTCATCTACAGCTCCGCCTCGCTTACAATCTGGCTATCGAACGCATCCAACGATGATGCAGGAGTACCCCCGAGCACGACTCCTCTACTGCAGTCACGGCGACGCTCCCCCACGGACGCGTGCAAAATGAGTCCGCTGACGTCGAGGCCGTGAAACAGCCAGCAGCCTTCCGCGAAGCCGTGGAGGCTCAGGCTGTCGCGGAAGCAGAGTCCTCTTCTGCGCGCGCCTTACATGCGCTTCCAGCACTGCCTGACATGCGCATTCCTCCTGTCTCGGCCGAGGCGAGCATCCCCACCGACCCCGACAAGTCTTATGTCTTGACCTATCAGTCGGATTCCATATCTCGCTTGGTAGATCGCCCGCCCACGTCTTCATCCGTTCAATATCGCCACCCCGCTCAACTCCCGCCTTCCACGAACTCAGTGATCGCATCCTCGCTCATCCTGCCGCCCTCTACGACTTTCGGCTCGAGCGCACCGCCGGGCCGGGCGGTGTTCTTTCGGATGCTGCGGCGGTTGAGCCTAGACGGCGGCGTGAGGCTCGCGGGCGGTTCGCCATCTGAAGTCGCCGCGAACGTGCTCCCGCCAGAGCAGTAGGACCAGGTGTGGGAGCTTATGACTGAGGGCTCGACCTTGCCGCCGGAGTATCAGCCGTATAGGGCGATCTGAAGTCCGGTTGAGGGGAGATGACGGAAAGTGTGGGAGGTGAGGAAGGCCGTCAACCTTGAAGCGTTCTGGGATGTATCGGTGGTTTTCCCCGTTGCCAGATAGCTATAGTGTACTGGCTCTCACGATAATCATGACCCCAAGTGAGTGCTACCTCATCTCGGAAGGCCTCTCGGTACTAATCTGATACTTATACAGCGCATCTTACAACGCATTGCATATTTGCACTTCCACCAAGGCGCTGTATATTTCGAATACCTCACTTAAGTTCTCCGATCTGCGTTTCTGCGCGCTGAAGCGCTGACGATCGGAATTTAACCTATGACAAAGGTCTCGAGGTTGGCATGCGGTCGGGTCATTGTCTCCCTGCTCAAGCGTCTTGCGGTGTTGCAGTCGATCCACCTTGCTTACTCTATCTCATGTGCGTCCCACCTGTGGTCCGGATGAGGCAAAAGATCTCTCACTCAGATTCCGAGCCTTCTCTTATTAGACGCTCATGGCGTCGTATGATGCACGTCGGTACCTTGTCAGGCGCTGGATGACTACGCAAGTCCTCTATTCATTCATCGGATGTTCTGCGTGCAAGAATTCGTCAAAAGTGTTGGCACCGGGCACCTACAGCATAATCTACCCCGACCGCTTGATTGGGCTTTTATCCCCATCGACCCTCACGGCGCCGAGACCATCGCTCTCCGCATCGCACGGTTGTCCCTTGAATCATTTCCGACGGGCCCGAATATGCCTTAAAATCGGAGCGCGCTCCAACCGAGGTTTTTAATTTTTAGTCAAGCACCATGGGCGCTGCTGCTGATGATCCGGAGTATAAAACCATCGGTGAGCATCCGTGGAATTACAACAGACTGTATGGTGGTCATACACACGGCAACGTATCTCTTGTCTCTCTCGGCCGCAGCTGTGATAGCTACGGCGAATCCCCATGGCAAATCGCTACCTACTGTGGTTCTAGATAATGCAACGGTCATAGGACAGCCGAACGGAACGACTATCAAGTACCTGGGCTTACCTTTCGCTCAGCCTCCGTAAGACTTCACCTTGTCCGCTAGTCCAACCACTGATCCAGGTTATTTCAGGACCGGAAACCTGCGCCTTCGTCTTCCTCAACCAGTTCTGCCCTATAACGGTACGACCAACGCACCCGTTTTGGAAAATCAGTGCATACAGCAAACCTTCCCCGACGTCACCCTGCCAAGCGACGTGCCTGCGGCGGCGGGCCAGTATCTTGCGGCTTTCCTTCAGGCTGCTGATGTCCCCCAGAGCGAGGATTGTGCGTAAGTTCCGACCAGTCCACGTGGCACGATTATGATATCCTGCGTCGGATAGGTCTGAACCTGAACGTGATCGTTCCTGCGAATGCCACAACCCAGTTAAGATTACCTGTCGCAGTGGTAAGTACTCGGATCCCTTGATTATGATTTACATAGAGGGCTGACGGTACATCGTATGAAAGTGGATTTATGGAGGCAAGACTTTCCTTTATATCAATGACAGAGGCTTTCCTGACATTTCCCAGGAGGATTCCAGATTGGTTCCAACGCTCTGTGAGGGTGTCGCTATTCATGAGAATGCATGTCACATGGTATTGACACGTTTGGTAGGGAACACGGAGAGAACGTAGTTGCCAGATCGATCGAACTCGGATATCCGATTGTCTACGTCGGTATAAATTACAGGCAAGTCCCAGTGGATCCTGAAACTTGCCCGATTTTGAACCATGTTTCTAAATCCTTGAACAGGCTGAGTGGTCAGTCGCTATGCACAGTAGATACTTCAACGATCTCAACGTTCGGTAGCATTCGGCTTCCTCGGCGGAAAAGAAGTCAAAGAAGCGGGTGTAGGCAACCTTGGTTTGCAAGACCGTGAGTGATAACATCCGTTTCCGTCATCAGGATGAGGGGCTGAAGAGGTGGTCTGGCAGAGCGGGAAGCATTCCGCTGGGTTCAGAAGTATATCTCCGCGTTCGGCGGCGATCCGACAAAGGTTATGATGTGCGTTCTCTACACAAGAGATGCCGAGTCACTACTATATTGATGCTCGGCAGCTGGGGCGAGAGCGCAGGTTCCATTTCCGTGGCGTTGCACATGCTCCATAATGGCGGCAACACCGATGGCCTCTTCCGCGCCGGATTCATGGAGTCCGGCACGGTGCTTCCCAGCGGCTATGTCGACAACGAGTACCTGCAAAATACTTATGATGGGATCGTACAAGATGCCGGCTGTTCAGGTAGCAATGATACTCTTCAATGCCTTCGTGAAGTAGAGAGTACAACGAGGGTTATCAGAGGTGCTCAAGGCAGCTATGGACAAGACGCCTACCTTCGTGGGCTACCAGGTGGGTTTGGGTTAGGCGCTCTATCGGCCTTGAAGATCAATCAGGCGATGATGTTGTCCTGTAGCAAGTCAACACACCGTACTTCCCTAGAGCCGATGGGGTTTTCGTGGCGCAGCCTTCAGAGCAACAACTCCTGGCAGGTGCAGTTGCCCAGATACCTCTCGTAGCAGGTACGTTTCGCTCTGATTAATGCTAGAAGCCGCCCTGAACAAGTAGCCAGGTAACGACCAAGATGAAGGCACTGCGTTTGCGTTCCCAACTCTAAACATAACGTGAGTCATCGTAGAATTCCTAGCTCCTTCGACATCTGACAGCATACAGTACCGACGACGAGTTCCTTGAGTACATAAACTCCAACTTCTATAGCAACACACCGAGGGACGAAGTCGGGAAGATTCTCGAGCTCTACCCTTCTGATCCTGCAGACGGCGCGCCCTACAACACGGGCGATAGCTTCGCCTATTCCCCGCAGTATAAGCGCATGGCGGCGTTCCAGGGCGACTTCATCGAGATCGCACCTCGTCGACTGTTCACTCAATACCTTGCCGAAAAGCAGCCTGTCCATTCGTACTGTACGTGGCAATTCCCTCTTCGACGATTGACTCTCATGCGTAATCACAGTGAGTAATTTTCACAAAGTCGAAGGGATTGGCGCAGTATGTTGGTTCCTCAGCGTTTGCATGACAATCTCTGAAATTTCAAATGGTCGCTCTGTATTGTAGGCTCATGGCACCGAGCTTGCCGATATCTTTGGAGGCGGACCCATGCAAGACTACCTCATACGCTTCGCAGCCACGCTCAATCCAAATGGGAATGGCGCTTTCACCTGGCCTCGCTACACGAATTCCTCACCGGCACTATTGACGTTCAATGACGCAGTCCCTCAACTGAATATCACCTTGGATACGTTCCGAGCAGTTCAGATGGAGTATCTGAACAAACTGAGTCTCGCAGACCCCATATGATGTATCTAGAGTCAGATCCTGTACAGTCGAGGGCAGCGCCATAGCGTTATCGTCGCAGGTCATCATAACCAATCGACACCTTTGACAGCCATGATGCAAATGTGATTGACTGTAAGGGGAGGGTCCAATCTCTATGTTCAATATATATACGACGCTTAACACCGAAATCGCGGACATATGAAGAATACGATGCTCAGCTGTCATCCCGCAAAGACGGAATCTGCAGTCTCAGCGCGAAGGGAGCTGACGTATGGCGGTGTCAATATTGGCCGATGAACCTACGAGCGCGTCTAAATCCCAATCTATTTCAGTAGAAACACAACTGTAGCGACAAATTAGAAGTAGGATAAGGAAATATTACTAGTGCTAGTCCGAGTGATATCTTCACCGTAAGTTGTTGGACGCTGAAGCTCGGGAGAATACGGGATCAAGGTGCCCAGGCACGTTGCAATTAGACGCCTGAAGCTCTTCTATGTAATCTTCCGGTTCGACTCTGCCGTGTCGTCTGCTCAATTCTTCGGTCCTCGTGTCTCTGTTTCTGCCGTGAACCATCTGGTGAGTACCAATAGGAAGTCGGGTGTTGTGACAAGGTCGAAGAAGAAGGGTGTTATGGACGTGGCCGCAAGCTGCTTCAGGGCCGCAAGCTCGCTTCATGGTGGCAGGGCACAGCGTGGCTTCTCGCAAAGGGAGGTTTTTCTCTTAATGTAGAAGGTCGGATGCGTTATGTCTCCGGTTTTCTTGGAACTCCAGGCAGAATCCAGCGCGATATCGTGAGTGGAGTTGGCACACGATGTCCTAGCATTCCTAACTTCCGCAATCAAGCACCTTCCAACTCGTAGATCCACCTACAGCCATGCGGCCATTACACACATGACGCATATATACCGCTTTTAGGGAAGACACGATCCGGCGTGCAGCCCGTGGACGCGAACACGACTGTAGATCGCATGCAGGCCATCCCCGCGTTGGGCCGTGGAGCTTGTACTGATTCTCCAAAGTATGCACGTCTTTCGCCCACGTCAGAACTCCAATCCGTGATATACTCCTTGTATATCATCCTGAGAACCGCTCCTGTACTGTTTCAGGCTTATGCGCCGGTGATATGATGCGACTTGTTTCCCACGTGTTAGTATATTGGCAGATCTGTGACTGCCTGATGTCCCGGACGTTGCTGCCCTTCGCGGTGCGCCGCCGTCTCCGTCGAAGCTCCTTACAGCCCAACTGCAGCATAGTCAAGAAGCGCGTACGCGAACCTGTCCGCTGGCAAGAACGAATACAATATTGGGGTGCTCCGGGCCCATTGCGCCGGTGCGAGCTCGGACACTTGTCAACCAAACGTGCTTTTTGCTGATGCCAAAGTAGACTTCTGCAGTCTCCCACGTCGCGACCGCCAACGATTTCCTCACGCCCTGAAGGCCTCCGTTAGATCACAATCTACGGCGATTCCGTCACCATCGCGCAGCACCAGGTACTCATAAATCACTCGTAGCTTTGATGTCACGCTCTGCCTTCTCGATTGCTCATTCGCACTGCTTCCCCCAGATCACCCATGTTTGTCCGCTCTGAAACCTTTGTAGCTTGAGATGCTGACTATGGGGCTGGATCTCCAGCTCCATTCACGTTCCCGAGCATGGCCCTCGATCACTCAGGTCCATTGTATCACAGTCTCCCGGCTATTGGCGTTCTGGGGATCATCGCGGTGTTGTTCATGGGCTCCACCTTCTACTACGGCATCATATATCCCCTCAGGAAGGACAGGTTGCGGAGAAAGCAAGCATTTGGCGAGTTCCCCTGGCACTGCATGTCGTCTGTCGAGATTAGTTCTCAATCATTGTGATAGCCAATCAGTCGGCGAGCACTTCAAGCATCTCTGAGACACACAAACGTGAGCTGCATCGCTGGGTTCCCACTCCACCGACACCTTCCACTCCGGGTCTCTCTCTGGCTGCTCATGAAGCCAACGACTTCGTTCCGACATTCCATCTTCAACCTCGCTCGTCTCAAGAAGATAGCTTCTACAATCCGCATAGGCTTGACAGCCCTGTGGATCCTAGTATGCTTCAGATTGCTACACCTACTCTACCTCCGACTGCCATGTCAGGCGAGCGCGCCATGGACTGGCGCTATTCTCAACATTCATTAGAGCAGGTCCCCGATCTGAGTGCGCCTTATGACCTGATTGAAGAACAGCGCCGCGAGCGGTTGCCAAGCCCAGTCGCCATCCCCCCTGCCATTGCTTCCAGGACAAGCACGGATGCGGTGTCCGTCACCACCTCTTCGACACTCCCGCCTTCGTACCGCACCACCTCTTCGACACTCCCGCCTTCGTACCGAACCAACCGCACCACGAAGCGCGCCTCGCAAACGGTCTCCCAGCTTCCTAGCTTCGAAGAGTCGCAGTATCCACCCCCCTCGACGAGCACACAAGTTCTAGTGCGACATCCCAGACGTCCCGGTGAGCGAAGACGATCATTTGATGGAGGGTTCCGCCTAGAGGGAGCACCGCTCGCTCTACCGGCGGTGAGGAACGGTCGGAGAGGGAAAGCCGCACGCGCTCAAGGGTCTGGGGAGAGGTCCTGAATGCTATGGTCAGTCGATTCGATTTGGGAAATCTTATGGACACGTTGCATCGCCCGTATATTTAGCATAGATATCCCCACCTGGACCATCGCGCTGTGCCTGCCGTGAGATGACGCCAGGCTTGTGTCGAAGCGCCGACTGAGGCGCAATAAAAAACGCAGACTCGCTCGTTGCTATGCAGAGATAGGGCTACGAATAGCATTTCAGAAGCTTGTTCGCTGCCGTGACCCTCCTATCGCGAGTACATCTCCATAACTGCCACCACACGTGATGGACTCGCTCGCTGCTGTGTGTCTTTGGCAGTCCGGGCCTGACAGGTCCGTGTGCTGTGCTGCTGGGAACGTAGGCGTTCCTCCACGGGATGCCGTACTACTTCGGCTCACGTTGACCCCGAATGTAATCGGTACTCAGCAACAGAGTGATGGCTCTGTATTTGGCGATGCCACGCTGGTGGGCTTTCCGAGCGCCTGTGCGGTCTCAGCTCGGGGAAGAATTATCTGTGTTCACAGCCTACGGATGCTATCGATCTGTTCCTTACATGACTGTTCACCGCACTTGCTGGTGAGTGCATGATCTTCATCAGGGTATCCGCATTGCTCATGGCGATGGCTGTCAAGCTTTGGTCTAACGAAACCCATCCTGATCGGCGATTTTTCGGTCGCTGCTCTTCTATGCACGCCCAGTATCCACGTCGACGGTGATTCTAATCCTCTCTGAGCTTCCCTGCAATGCTCATAACTGGCGATGTGCATGCGAGCACATGGCTTGTGCCCCTTTCCTCCCCGACTCGCTGCCGCCCTCTGCCATCACGAGATTATGCCTACGTGTAGGACATGGTCACCATTGTGCTCAGGTCTGAGGCTGTCTTTGTCATTGTAGGAGTCAGTGCCGCTGTTCTCGTGATATGCATTGTAGCGGCGGTCTTTTATGTGTTGCGTCGGAGACGCAAAAGGCGTAACGGAGAAATCAAGGATGGCGATATAAATCAAGGTGAGTAGTGCCGGCATACCATAATCATCGCGATAACATCCGGAGAGTATAACAGACATTCCTTTGACAGAAATTCCTCGGCGTGCGCGGCCCAGGCGGCGGTCAGTGCCCAGGCCACTGAATACATATTCTGCAGACGTTGAGAAGGAAGAGACAAGGTCAAGGGATTTGCCCAGCAGTTTGCAGGTCCCAATGAGACCTGAGCTTTCCCATCCTTCACAACCAACTCCTGAGCACGACCTACTACTACAGCAAACCTTCTCCACATACGAGTCTTTCTACCGCGCCCTGAGCGAGGCCTCCGCATCAGTTCCTTCCAGTCCACGTTCTTATTCAAGCGGCGTGTCGGTCCCACCTACAGCGCGAAAGCGCGAGGCATCGCGCCTTACTATTTCCACTCTCGCCGAGATCGCGCTCCCCTCTACGCCAGCTATTCTCGCCATCGTCAGTACGGAAGGGGACGTTGCGGCCCGACTGAAGGAGTCCGTCGATGAGCGCGAGTCAGATAGTGTGTCTGTGACTACCATCTCGACGCTTCCGCCATCCTACCGCACTCGACGCTCCGGACGTGCTATTCCTCTTGCTGATGCTCCATACTTTTCTGGAGAACACGGCACCCACAGTACGGAGATGCAGCCTCGGTCTCTGCCCTGGCCGGGAGGACGAGTACCGACCGGAACCCGCTCGGCTCTAGGCTCGCGACCCCGCTCGCGGTCTGTAGGGTCATCCACGGTTCCTCCGTCCTACATGTCCCGAAGGAGAGACGTCTCAGAGGACGCATCTGGGAGGGTGCGTCCCAGAGCTCGGAGCCGGAGTGTCAATGCGAGACTCCCAAGGAGGTCAACGGATGGAGGCGTGCGGCTAGCAGGCGGGCCTCCCAACATACCGTCGACTTCCACGAGCGTTGCAGCTTTCATGCACCAGGCACTCAGCGAGCCTTCGAATAGGGCGCTGGGGCCCGTACAACCACGATCCTACTTTGAGGACTAGTATTTATGCTTTGCATCGTGCCGCCACGACATCGGACATTTACGTAGCCACGACTCCACTGTCAACCACTTGTATCAGTATCCTCTTCACTCTTCGTATCAGATGAGAAACACATACGAAAAGCTGTATGTATATCCTGGCTGCTGCAGGATTCTTTTGAATGCAAATGTATTGAGCGCCCGCGAGTCAGATTCTGGCCGCGACGGCGAGGCGAGGTCCAATGAAGCTCCGAATCGGGGATGATCGATGATTAATGATTCCGCACGAGCGCTTGCAGATTTTGCTCCTCCGTTCGTCGTTCGAAGTTCCCTTGCAATTGGCCACGTTCTTGCAGACAAGGCTCTGAAACTTGCATTCGCTTTATCTTGCTGTACGCGACGAAACTTTTTTGGTTCCGACTCTTTCTTTTGGTGCCCAGGGTGTCCACTTTCTCTCATGTCGTCGCAATGCGCCACACAGCCGTCCGTGAAGGGAGAGTTATCAGCATAGCGACCAGGCCGGTTGCATATGCATAAGGGTATCGGTGAGTGCAATACATCCTCTATGCTACTGCTCTCGTCTGTGCTACATGGTATTGTCCTGCAAGCAGTACTGCGCTGCACAAGCGACCAAGCGCCCGGTCAGAACGCTGGAGATGGAGCTCGCGAGTCGAAGTTGTATTCCGGAGGCAGCGTGTAACTCGTATTTCTCCGCGAGTCCATATCCAGAAATGTGTCACCACGGTCCTCACTCTGATGTCCTGGAGGACCTCCGGCGATCCGCACGCCTCCGTCCTGCGACCGCCTTCTCACGAATGACTGGTCCTCTCGATGGACTGTCGCCGGTGTTCCCAGCAAAACATGGGCAGTGGATGTGGGGTATGCGTAAGCGGATCGCTGTTGGAGGAGACCGGTGGCGGATGATGGTGAGGACAACGGTACAATGCCGGGCCCATTCTTCTCATTCGGATAGATGATGCTGCTGGGAATATGACCGAACGCATCCTGACTTCCTCCGACGAACAGGTCGTCGCTGGAGCCTACTGAGACATAGACAGAGGGCCCCTTGCGATGCCTCGCGACCGGAACAATAGCTGGGACGTGCTCGCGGCCGGCCGTTGCGAATGTTCTCGGCGGGAGCTGTTGGGGATCATCAGATACTTGGCAGCATCTGAGGTGAGCTATCGCCATCGCACGAATTGCATACGTGAACTCACGGGATGGGTCAATGCGCTTGCCCCCTATCCGCTTTCGGTAGAGCCACCAAGCTGCGGCGAGAAGAAAGAGGAGCAGCAAAAACGAGCCCGCTGCCGCGACGCCTATGGTCGCGCCCATCGTCAGCGTTGGCGAGTGGTTCTTCGCGATCTCGGTGGTTTCCGGTTCGTTTGTCGGGATGTTGGTTGAGCTGGTGGTTGCACTGATAGGATAGATTGACTGAGACTGGGTCACAGACGTGTCAGAGATCGCGGAGAGAGGGGCGGTAGTGCTCGAGGTGAGTGTTGTGTCACTGGCGATAGTAGCCGAGGTTGTGGAAGAGACAATCGTGTCCGATAATGGCGAAACGAGCGTGGTAGAGGGAGCGGATGTGGTCGTGGATACCTGCGACAGGCTTGTGGAGATGGACGTGGGATTGATGGCGACGACTTGTGAGGACTTGGGTTCCGTCGAAGACGACGGGGTGTCGTCCACCGTGACCTCGAGATGCTCGACCACAAATTCCTCGCCCTGATTGAGGATTGTTATGGTGCAGCGTTGTTTTGACCGCGGTCATGACCAAAGCCATGACCGATTTTGACTAGCTTGACTGGTCATGACGGTTGGTCAAAGGTCAACGCGTGATCTAGGCGACCGAGCGCTTGTGGGGTCGCACTAATCACGTTGATTAGGACCAGCAGCTATGGATGGCCCGACTATTTGTGTATGCCTAGGTAGAAATTGTATAGAATTGAAGGAGCATTTTTCGAGGGGAGAGTGAGCGGAAGGTGTCAGATAATGTGAGCTGGAGACAACAGAGGTTGGAAGTATCAAATACTTCAACTCCGTCAGCGGTAGAAACTATTCGGACTGAAGCATTTTTCGACTCTTCTACCGGACAAATAATATTGTGAGCGTGCAGCTTCCTCCCGCACTCGCTATTCCCTCACCCCCCTGACTACCTCCATGCACTAGCAAGACGGCGCCGCCTGGGAGCACCGATGACGAACCTGGTTTCTCGTATGCAACCCTGGTCAACTTGACCGGATGTCCCTCCAGACCAGCGTCGTTCGCCTGCCTACAGAACCTTCCGTTTGGAGCGAGCACCAGTGATAATGTAAATCGAGCGTGGCTAATGCTGTATTCAGACCCTCAACAACATCTCAGTTGCCATGACTAACGAAGTACTGAACGAT